ATTTATTTATCAGTTGAAAAAAATAATTCAGTTGTTCTATCCCATTATAATCTTTCTATCGTTTAATTTTCCCTAACCCTTTTTTACTAAATAAAAACCCCTTTCTGCAAATGTTTCATTGCATTAATAAATAGCTAGAAGTTGCTAAGGCTCAAAAACACTTATAGGTGTCAGTCTTGCCACTTTTCTGCATTAACAATTCTATATTTAGTTCAGCAGTAGAAGAAAATCCTCTTTGCACGTTCTATCCATCCAGTTTCATTGTTAACCAATTGGATTTAAAGTGTCTGGAACCCACATCACAACCAAGATATTCAAACTAAGATAAAAGGTATGAAAAAATCTTTTAAGAATGGAAGAAGAATATCCCCTCCACACACAAACAACTGGAACAACTGGAACCTATTACATTTTTAGGAACAGCAGGCTAGTTGTGCTCTTGTTAATAACCCCCCAAAAGCACCACGACTCTGGAAGATTTACAAACGTTGCCATTGCTAATACAAAGTCAGTTTGCTCTCTCTAGCTGTCAATCACAGACTAGAACATTAGTAACCACTAATGAGCCAATAATATCAGTGGTGTTAAGGTTGCCTTTAAAAGATGTGTTTCAGACAGCATGTGCTTCTTCTTGCCAGCCTTCCAGAGAAAATGCATAAAATGAATTTTGGTAATGAAGGGCAAGGCGTCACTGATTTGGACTCACGTGCTGTTGCTATTATGATGATTGGAGCATTTTGCACAAATGTCATGCTGTACCAGAGACAATGAGAATGCAGACCCAGCGTTATATAATTAAGGTGCAAACTACTTTCATCACCCATCCATGCACTTGTCAGCAGCAAACCCTTGGCAACTGATTATTTCCATAACCATAAATGTGCTCTATAACAAAGGCTAACAATGCCGTTAAACCAAGGAAGATAGTGGCCTCAAGTAGAACAATCTGAACCTCAATAAGGGCTAGAAAAGCATCGTTTGTTACAACCCTTGTATTAAAGGTCATGGTGGGGAGGATGCAATGGGGATAAGTCTCAGGCATGAAGATGATCAGGGAGGGTAAACTTATAATTAGTGGTGAAGGGATTGCAAACAACGAGTTTAAAGGTGCAACACCACACAATAAACTAAGAAGTATGGGTTGTTCTGCATTGGTTTTTAGTTTTGAAAGTCATTGTATTTTGTAAATGGTGGTTTTTGGTTTGACACACTGTGTGAATTCAGGCAGTTGTAGTACATTCAGCACCCTACTTAAACAAACATGGTTAAGTATGATCTATGACTCAGGACAGAGTCTAATTTCCCAGCTCATCTAGACCATTTCCATTTGCAGCTATGGAAACACAGCTTTTCAAACCAGCTTCTCAGGAGATGATAGATTGGAAAATTAGATTCTGTAATTACATTTGCAATGTATCTTGAAATAGTTAATAGCACTCCCAAATGCTAAGTGAGATTAGCCTTGTCCGCGCTAACCTCTTCAGTTGTGCAGAGTCAACACTGAATCGTTCTCAACCAGCATGGCCAAAAAATGCATACTGTGTAAGATATGAAGTGCTAAATATCTGGAGGGTGTAAGGAAAAAGCCTTAAATATCACTGATCTCTAAATAAGAAATTGCACACTCAGTAAATTTTGTAGCCCAGGAGATTAAGTGAATACGGTCATAGTGTGCAATGTTCTGGTTCACACACTGTGTACAAGACCATACAAAACATTGGAAGGGGTGATTTGCCAAGGGCAAGCACATTCTCCAGAAGCATTGGCACAGCTTTCCCAAATGGATGTGTCAACTGGGACTGCTGGCCATATGCATGCATGTTCATGAAGAGTCATCTAGTTAGTTGCCTCTATGTCTCTTTTCCTTCTTGGTAGTCATCATTCCTTGACTTTGCCTGTTGTCAAATTCTGTTAAAGACTGGGAACCTTTATTTATTGCTTTAGTTATGGCCATCTTCTTCTGCTACCTTAGATTCAGATTTATGGACCTAAATATATAGAAATTTTGCCCTTATAGTCACTACTCCACAGACATGACAATTAAGGTATATGAGCCTTGTGGTAAGTGGCCATGCTTTATAATGAAGGCTCCTATCCCAAACACACCCTTTGGCTATCAGTTTGGATCCGCCATTCCTTCCCAACTCCACTTCTCTAGCAAGCTTGAACTTTCTCAAACACCCGCTAGATCAGAGGTGTCAAACTTGTGGCCTGCAGACCGGATGCATCGTGTTCTGGCCATGCCCACTCCCGGTTTAGCGAAAGGGGGAAAAGTTGTGATACGTCTCGTGATGATGTGACGACACCCCTGCACTAAATAGTGGAGGATGGGTAAGGACCATATGAGAATTAGAGACCCATTTCTTGCTCTATTGTCTTTAACTGCAAAGAGCTGTTTTTGAATCAGAGAACATTTTTGTGTGACATTTTTCCTTCACTCTTCAACATTAATAACACAGTTGTGTTATTAATACAGAGAATGTAATACTGACTTGAGGAAGGAATGGATTTAGATTTTTGCAAATCCTATAAATGTCAGTGCTAATATTTGTCGTCTCACACTGGAAGCACTTGGTCACTGCTTATTTCCACATATGTTACGTCTCCATTTAGATTCTGGCTTGCTTTCTCTTCTGCTCTAGAAGTTACAGATTGCATTCTTTGGGGAGACAGAAGTTTCTCTTCATAGGTAAAACTTCTGTTATATGTAAGTTATATTAAAATATATTATATTTATAAGTTATATTTTATTAGGAACAGGTTTTATACAAATGTACAATACATATCCATAGGGATAGGAAACTGTTACATAACATGTATTGGAAATGGGGTTTTTCTTTCCTCTTGTCACACCCTGTCAGCATCTACTTCACTGAAAGCTCTCTTCCTGTGAGCCTTGCAAGCTCAGGAAAAGTAATAACTCCTTTAAGGAGGTGCTGACAGGTGCATTTGTGAATCCTCCCTCCGAAGCACCTTTTGACTTGCATCCTGGTGCAGAGGACTCTATTCAATCGAGATTTTGTTGCTCCAGAACCATCTGTTATCTAGCAACTGTTGGTGCCCTTTCCTTGTGCCTGGCTAAAGAATTCTTCCTTTTTCAACCAAATAGCAACACCACCTACTGACAAAAATGGCAGCATGCTTTTTAAAAAAATTATTACGGCTACCGATTGGCTTTTAAGTAGAATAAAGAAATGACGGCTTTGCAACAACTTATTTATAGCAGCTGCTGAGATTTGCGCCCCCCCCCATGCAACATTAGAAATTCACACATTAGAGATGGCAAAAACACCTTAGTTTGCACTGCATGGGGTGTAAGAGGATTTGTGCGATTTTAAGTAGCTTGGGGTGGGCAGACTACTAATAATCCTAAAGGGCTCCCTGTTGATTCTCTAGATTTTAATGTCCACAAGCTTTAAAATATTTGAGAGATTTTGAGTAAAAATAGTGCCCTGTAAAACCCCCATTCAAAATTTGACTTTTTAGAAGTTTCTATGTGATTATGTATACTTTTATATAATAATGCACCAAATAGCATGTATCTGGCAAAACTGTAAAAATGCATTTTTAAAGATAAGTCCATCAAAGCTATAATTGATAAAAATACTAAATACCAAGGAGACATCACTTCTCACATTTTTCTTTTTGAGGTTTTCCTCATCCTATCATTTTCCCCAAACTTCCTCTTTTCAACTCATTCACTTTTCTGTGGTGACTTCCCATTTACTTCCCATTATTTTAATACCCCCATTGCATATGAAAGGAAAAACAAACAATTGGTTAAAAAGCACTGAGCTTTGATCAGCCTCAAGTCCCCCTCTATTCCTGTAGCAGTATCTAATTGGAGTTTCTACTAGAAAACGAAGCACCTGGGCTATCATGATTGGTACATGTAGAGCTGTGGTGGCACGGTGGTTAGAATGCAGTATTGCAGGCTGACTCTACCAACTGCCAGCAGTTTGATTCTCACCAACTCAAGGTTGATTCAGCCTTCCATCCTTCTGAGGTCGATAAAATGAGGACCCAAATTGTTGGGAGCAATATGCTGACTCGGTAAACTGCTTACAGAGGGCTGTAGAGTACTGTGAAGCGGAATATAAGTCTAAGTGCTATTGCTATGTACTAATCAAGGCAAACCTTATCTAGCAATAATGTGTAACAGGTGAAATATATGCAGGATAGGGACTGGCAATAGGGCCAGCACATTTTATGAGTGTTGCTTTACTCAGAAGTGGAGGAAAAAATGGACACTTTCTTCTCCACTTTCGTGAGTAACCAACTCCCATACATGACATAAATTGTTCTCTCAGATTAATTCCAGGTCACAACCACTTGATAAGCATTACAATTTGAATTTAAGGTTGTGGGCACCATACACATTGACTCTGGAACCCCATATATCTTGCAAACTTTTGTTAACATCTTGTAAGATGATATTGAAGGGTTAAAGTCTAGGAGTATTGTGAACGGTAAGGCAGCCAGAATGTGGTACTGACAAACCTTGAACTACAAAAACTTGGTTTGCTTTGGTGGTTAGAATTATACCCATTAATTCTGGGAAGGAGACAAAATATTCAATTACCTAAGAAAAATGCTGGTATTACTTCAGTTTCCCTGTGTGTTACTTTTTCCTGCAAAGCCATGAAAAGCTTGTGCTTTTTCATATTTTTTTTAAACCACACAGAATTAAGTACTATAGAATACTCATGAGACCAGATTCAGAAATGATGCAAGTTCTATATCAATAGTCTGATAACTGTGTTCAGTGTCGAATTAAATGGTATCAGGTCTACATATATAAAGCATTTTCCCAAGCTGCTATAATCTCTAAATGGTAACTGAAAAGGATATTTTATGCAACTTCTGGCAATTAAATATCCCACCAGTAAATGTTACTGTTGATTGGAAGATGGCATCAAGGTTGAGTCTTGGAAGCGTAAGTAACATGGAACTTTAACAGCACTCAATTTTAGTATTTAATGAGGCAGAAGAAAAGCAGATTAATGAAATAGACTCTTTATTGCTGCACACATGCTTGTATATTAAGCTTTTAAATATATAATTATATTGCCATTCTGAAAAGCTTTACATTCTCTTTATTTTAAATAACAGAGGGCCAGGTTAAAAGTAAGTTCATAATAATAATAAGTCTGACATTTAAACTTTTTACAATCAATTAATAGCCAGGAAGACTATACAATAAATAATTAGAGATACACTGTTTTCCTAACTTCTTTGGATTTAAGGAAGGTGACTTTTCACAATACGTTAAATAGGTATTAGTCTGTTTTTATCCACAACTCTGATTTATACAAGGGCAACCAACAAAATACAAGACAGAGCAAGGAGACAGCTCATCAAGGAGCTGTACTGAGAAGCAGCTTCAAAACACAGTAATACTGGTAATTCATTCTGAATTTACTTATCATTCTCAGTACTATATACAAAGCTTTGTTCAGCCACCTTCACTGCCTATCTAAAAGTTAACTGGATCTTCACTTGACAATATTATTAAAAATCTTTTTATTTAAACAAAAACACACCACCAATAGCAATTACCAGTAGTAATTTTCTGTGCTTATATCATGTTAACTAGATGCTTGCAAGGAAGAGAACATTAGGATGTTATGTATAAAAAAGCTTACTGTGCTTTGTTTTTGTTCCAATAATTTACTGTTTCAAATAAAAAATGGAAGTAGAAAAAGTTATGATTTATTCCAGTATGATGTCCACTTATTCACTGGAGGAGGCTTATAAATTGGTACAAGAAAGATTCTATAATATTTGCCAAAGATATTTGCTAAAAAGAAACGTCAAGAAATTCAGCATTTTAGTTCCCTTCATTTTTCTAGTAAAATGCAGGAAAAGAAAGATGCTGGCCAGGCTTTTATTTATGGTTTGTGAATAACAAGACTACGGTAGTTCCACATGCTTTTAAATAAAGCACAATTCCTTTAAGAGGTGTGCTTTCCTTGACATACTATTAAGAATACACAACTTCTTGACCTTACGTGTAAAGAGTTATCAGTGCATGGAAAACTGTGCTAGAGTCCAACATCATGTCTCACTAAAGTTAATCTACCATCGCAATTGCTGTAACACTAACAGTATTACCATAGTATAGGAACAATATTGCCTAATAAAGTCAGGATAAGCCAAATGGGATTTAGTTTTTTCCTTGTCAAATTTCTCTAATGATGAGCACATAATTCTAAAGTGGTTGGGTGACACAGAACCCTGGCTGTATGGTTTCTATATTAAAGTACTTGATTTACTGCATTTCCCATCCCATCCCTCCCACTCTCTGAATGGCCAGAATGCATTTTCCATTTATCATTTATATTAATGGGGGGAGGGGGGGCAGTAACAAAGAACATAATGATCTGGACAGTAGTGGACACTTTTTCCTTCAGACTAAAGATCTTAATAAACAGAATCTTAATTATTTTTTCTGTGCAACATGTAAATATGGCATGATGATGCAGATTATGAAAGGTCAGGTAGAAAACTTGACAAATAGTAGTTCAGGACACCTCTATGTCTCTTGTATGCTGTTCTGAATTTAGTAATTAAACTAATCTCATGAGTTATCTATATATATCTTAGATTTAATATATACAGAACAGGGAAACAGCAGTAGTCTCAATTAGGAAACCTGCCAATCAGTTACATGGAGCCAGCCAGAACACCTGTTATCAACAGGTGATTGTAGATATTAGAACTGTGTACATATGGACAACCCACACCTCACTGCATCCAACAACAGAATGTTAAATTTTCATACAGACCTTCACATAGGTGACTTTAATGTGAACTGACTTAATTCAAATGATGTATACCTTAAAATATTGCACTGTGTAGACCAGGGGTGTCAAACTAATGGCCTGCAGATCAGATGCGTCACGCGCTGGCCACACCCACCTCTGGTTTAGCAAAGGAGGAAAAAGTTGCAATACATCATGTGATGACAATGTGACGCCGAGAGCTTGACACCCCTTGTGTAGACTATGCCATGTGAATATATTCCCATCTGCCATTCAATATATCAAAGGGTAGAACTAGTTAGCAAGATGATACCTTCTATTGCCTCACAATATTGGGATCTGCACAAAACAAATTTATGCTTCCACTGCAAAGGGAAACAATGTTCCATCGGTCCATTGTGGTATCATGCAAGTACAACACAGTCACTTGTACATACATACTCCATGCTAAAATTTGTGAATCACTTGAGTGAATCCCCAAGCATAATAAAATCAAAGGATCATTACTATCTACAGATATGCTAAACTTCCATGTCTCAATGTCTCCTACAATGTAGCAGGAAAAGGGGGGGGCGTGCATTTATTTATTTATTTATTTATTGTCATTGCACCTACATTTGCACCTAGTGGTGACAAAAATTTCAAGGATCAGAACAGATTTTTTAAAAAAAATAAAATAAATGAACTTGATCACCTGATGAATAAAGCAGCTAGATTAGAAAACTGAGGGTCTGCTCAGATCCAGCTGTACACATTTGGAAGATTAGAGTGTAAGACTAACAGCAGGCAATCTCAGCTTCTAGTTCAACTACTTCATATTCTTATAATTCAGTAAAAGCTTTCATTTCCTTCTTTACCCAGCAGGAATGTCAATATTCTAAAGGATAGACTTTTTGGGACTGCAGTAACTGGTTGTATGCCAAACAGTACATTCGTTACATAAGGCATGCAAATCTTTCCTCAACAATGTAACATACACCTAACCATGTTTTTCTGGGGGCCTGTTTCCTGGAAGAAGAAAAGAATATTAATCCAGATGCAATAGTCAGTAACATAAAAAATAAGGGAAACTTAAAAACATAAAGAAATTGGAAAATCAAATAGAGAGAAAAAGATGTGAACTTTGCAGAAATGAATTCTGAACTGATACTTCATATAATGACACAAGAAAATCTCCCAGGTTAACATTCAAGTCCTATGCTAGCCAAAAGATTATCCAGGGCATCTAATTTCTGGTTAGCCTCTTCAATGGCACTGTATGTTTGAACGTTGCTGGTTATATGAAAACGGATGTCGTCCACAAGAGGAATAGAGTCCGTCTCCTGCCGCTCCTCCACGGCATCAGCATTCTCCTTCACTGCTGCTGCAAATTCCTCAAACTCCACTAACTGAAGAAACAAAAGACAGAAAATGGATAAATCCAGGAGAATCTTTATCAAACTGCTTTCAATGGCAACCAAAGTAAATTCTCAAGCGCAGAATCCTGCAGCATATAGGAATGCAAGTCGGCTAACCTTAAAAACCACTGTTTTCACCAGCCTGATTCTGCTCTGAGAATAAGATGAAAAATATATCTTAAAAATGCAGCCTTCTAATGCTATAACAACAAAAAATATATATAGCGATGGCACAATCTTTTAAAAACAATAGCTAAGGATCTTGGGATCAAACCTTGACCCTTGGCCTTTTAGCCAGATTGCTTTTAAACACACAACTCACAGGGGAATGTTTGCAGCCTCACTCACATCATAGCAAGTATTGTCTCCACTTCATGCTTCTGTTTTTGATAGTTTCTTCCAATAAACTATAACAATGAAAAGGACTTCTTTGAATTCTGAACTCTGGGGAGATTAGTTCAATATCTCATATTGGTTTGGAGATGAGAAGGACAATTACAAAAAAATAAATTGTTGGGTCTATGACAAGCAAAATTGAGCCATGCTTGTTCCTATTAAAAAAAACATAGGTGAGGAATTTTGTATTAGTGAAACTAATTTGGGGGGTGGGGATGCATTTTCACAGACAGGAAAGAATTTCACACCTCTCTCAAAGCCTGTTAAGTAAAGAATGTTGTAACTTATGTGGGAGTGCTAATTAGAACCATTTATAACATCAGTGAATTGACTAGGGAACAGTGAATTTCACTTAGGAAAAATTTATGCTGGCCAAATAGATTTTCCATATTCCATAATCATGTGTGAAATTGCATGGGAAGAAACAGCACCATTTCCTTCTACTGGGGACAAACACTGGTGCGGATATCAATATCATCTATATTTATATCTATCTATCTATCTATCTATCTATCTATCTATCTATCTATCTATCATCTATCCATTCACACACACACTCACACACACACACACACACACACAGTGTGTATATACAATGTACTACAGGCTACTTAAAGCATAACTCAAAAATGATTTCCTCATCAATTTAATTAGAATGATAAATGTAGCTTTCTCTATATGTACAACATATACTCAAGATTAAAGCAACAGGACGTTGCTGCATGTGACCTAAGTATGTATATGATAATTCAGACTCTTTTACAAATTCTCTCTTGTAGCCTAAGCTGGTCCATGCATCCAAGATTTAGTATATGAAAAAAAGAGAGCAGATATGAAACCAATGTTATCATTTTATATGCAAATTTGAACCATTATTTTCCATATAGGAAAAAAATACACAACTGAATTTATAAATAATAATACACAGACACACACACCAAATTCTGTCAACCCATCTCATAAATACGTAGGATGAATATCTCATTCACATGTTACATCTCTATCTAAAAATACCAACCACATGCTAAGCATATCAGGCAAACAACTGGTTCAGACAAATCACTTCAATTTGCCTACCACATCACCAATAATATAAAATACTTTATATTTATATTTCATATTTTCAAATATTTTAATACAGCAGCCATATAAATCAGGATGATAGTCATTCCAATACTAACAATTTTGGAATAGAGGTTTTAAACTATTAAAAAAAGTTAATAACTTTCCAATGCATAAGAGACTTTATAGCCAAATAAGAACATTCTCATAAACATACTTAATTACATCAATTCTCACTTATATGGATGTTAACACCATTGCCACTGAAGTTCCAAGCAGCTTAGGAATTAAATTAACTGTTCTTATGAATTCATCTTGTTCATGACAAATTTAAATCACTTCAGAGAAATTCTAAGAAATTCCTTCATTTTATAAAGGTTTGGTCTGACAAAATTAAAACACATCACACATTGGTTAATAACAGAATATTATCTTGAATAACTGACATAATGTGTTCTTTTAGACCAATTCTCTCTCATTATTGTTAAGTATTAATTATTTTTTCCTACACCATGACTTTTTGGGTAGTACAGAAACAAATAAAAGTGTATCATCACAATATCTTGAAGTGGGGAAAAAAATCAGGAATTGACATCATCTTTTCTTTTTCAACAAATATTTTTTTTATTAAGAGGCATAAGCTTTCATGAGCTGTAACTCGGTTCATCAGATCATTAGTTGAGGAGGGAATATCTATCACCGGTTTCACTGAAGCTGGCAATGTTAAGATTTTTGTCTTCATATTCTTCTATTTATTCCACCTTTGATGGGATTGCTTTAAATTTAGAATTGTCTTGCTTTTGGCTAAATATAAATTGCAATTGTACATAGTATTTTTATTGATAAAAGTTTTTAGACGAAAAAACAGCTCCTTTTTAATGGCAGAGTTATCACTTTTCTCACTAAAACATGAAAAATAGCATTTATTTCGCTATAGACATCCATTTCTATAGAAACCAACTGTGGTGATGGTAATAAAAAAATAGCAAATTTTACAAATAAAATAATTGCTTATTGGAACTTAAGTTTTAAAGACCTTTTGTATCAAATATTCATTTGCAGCCTGCCGGACAAATAATATCTACAGTAGCTGTCCTTCACCTCCTCTTTATTACCTTCTCAATTATCTTTGCCATATACTCTGTGCATTGATCTTCCAATCGGGTCAGCTGGAATAGCTTTGCAATCTTCCAGATGCTGACAACACTGTCTTCGTCAAGAACCTGTGCCAAAATTCTCCCACACAGGCGCTTGAGCCCAGGTAACAGATACATATCAGCCACACAAAGCACTTCATAGGCGTTTTCAGGAGACAACTGCTGGGACAAAAAGGTATCAATGCAACTAGACTCAGTATGACTCCAAACCCAACTACAAAACAGATTGAAAACCCAACCTGGATTACGACTAAGGAGGCACAGATTGTAGTCCAATCTCAGCCATGGAAAATGCACTTGGGACCATCATACGTTCTCTCCTCAACCTACATCACAGGGCTGTTGGGGGGGGGGAAATTAAAGGTGTAGTGCTATGTGTGGTGCCTAAAGTTCCTTGACGAAAGAAGAAGTATAAATCCAACAAATAATAAGTGTCTTCTGGGATCATATTCCGCAACTCCCTGATTTGGACAGGTGTAATTTAAGGTTAATAAACCTACAATATTGTTAATGATTACACACAGCATTCATATTTTCAGTCTTTTCATTTATCTCACAATATAGGTAACCCTCACCTAACAACCATTCAAAGTTACAATGGTGCTAAACAAATGGTATTTATCATGGGTCTGCAATGGGTCTTATTGCATCCCTGCAGTCATATGATCAAAATTCAGGTGCTTCGAGCATACCATTCACCTTTTCATCCAAAGGGTGCTTCAATACTCCCAATCAACCTATCTCCTCCCCACCATCTTTGCTCTTTTGATCACCTTGCTTGCACCTCCATCTGTCCTTTGTTACCTTCTTCCTCCTGCTAAGAGGTGAGGCCAGCAGCTGTCTCGTGAAGGTCAGCTGCGGATGGGAGGGGTGGCAAAGTGCAGGGGGTCAGAGGCAGCGGAGTGCAGTGTGGCCAAAAGGGCAGAGATGGGAGGAAGATGGGTGGGAGGGGAAGAATCGAAATATACCCTGCATTCATAAATGCAGGCAGGCTGCCAAGCGCTGAGACTCTAATCAAGTGACCATATGGTGGCTGCAACGCCCAAAACTTCAAGGACTGGTCTAAATAGCATTTTTTTCAGCACCGTTATCATTTCAAATAGCCAGTAAACAAATGATCCTTAAATGAGGACTACCTGTATTGTATTTGCAAAGGACACCAAGCTAGCGGGAGTAGTAACATCTTAGGGAATGAAATCCTGATTCAAAATGACCTTGACAGTGCAACTGGGAAAGTGCCCTTTAGCTGGCTAAAGGAAAACAAGGACAGATGGCTTGGTTTGGCAGCTTTACTGTTGCCCTGCAGGGCAGCAAAGGGAAAGTGCACAATCTCAAACAATGTTCCACAGAGCAACAGGAGCTCCTGCAACCATCTACCCTCTACAGAACAATTGTCTCAAGACTGTGGAGCAGCCAACATATCCTCTTGGTGCGATTAATTTAGGGAGAGGACAGACACAATAACTGAGTTTTTATGCTAGAAAGAAGTCGCTATCACTATTACTTATATCTTTCACTTACGACTGTTGAAGAGCAAATATGGTTACTCTGTAGGGCAAAAAAAGAGGCACAAAGCAGTTCTTGTGGACAGCAATCTAATACCTAAAATCCGTTTTCAGAAGAAAGGCTGCAGCTATTCTCTGCCTTTGTTCTTGCCTTTCAGTACATGAAGTACTGTGCACATGTACAAACGTATACAGTACACATGCAAAGTTCCTCTGCAGTGAAATTAGGCTAGCTCATTGTGAGATATACATTCAATGTACAGGGATGAGGTCTCCACCTCGCATTTTACCTATCATACTACTACCTGATGGAACTTAATGGCTCAGACTATTAATGTTAATTTCTCTTTATACTTAGAAAAATAAGGCATATATTTATGACTTTATTTTAAAGTTCATTTTGTCCAAAGACCATTGCTTATTTGACTGCATTATAATGAATGATTGAATGTGACATTTATCACTCTTCCATTTTACACTGAAAATTCACCATCTTGGGAAAAAAAGATATTTAGTGGGCAAGTGTCTATAATCATTTTTGACCTCACAAACACACTATTGTTTCATATCCTCTATCTTTTTGAAGAATTCTCATTAAACAAATTCATCATTACTTGTGGGAAATACCTGGTTAGCAAGTTCCTCAGAACTCAATTGACAGAATATGGTAGAGAAAATAGAGCATCCATGCTATAGAGTTTAGTTCCATTAAGAATTTTCTAAATTCTAAAGCTGCAACCAAGACTTTGCACTATATGCGACAAGAAAATGCAGCATAAAAACAGCTTAAACTATTTTTAGCTCTGGCCAGTTTGCTAACTGTATGCTGCCCTCTACTGGCAAACTGACCACTCTGTGCGCCATCAGGCTTCTGTAAAGTCACTTTTCCATTGAGCTCAATTCCTGCTTGCTGTATGGATACATCCCTATAGTATTCTTGGTAATCACTAGTTTTTGCTTCTGGGACTTTTTCCCCCCATCTTTCCTATTAAGCCAACAATATACCTTACAAAAATATTCCTTGTTACTATCAGGAATACAAAAGTGAAAGAATGAACATGTATCGATATATGCACGTGTGTGTATGTATGCATGTTGTGTATGCATATGTATATACACACACACACAAACACACAGAGTGATTCTCATCCATATATATGGAAATAAAAGATATATGTGAAAGTAAAGGCCAGTGGTGTTAAGAGCATTTGGGACTGTGACTCCTAAACTGGGAAGAGTATGGCTCCCAACAGATCCCAGGATCAACCTCAGTGCTCCCTTGTCCAGAAGACTGCAGTGCTAGGAACAGCTAAGACACTGCGCAGAACCCTCAAACGCCCAGGCTCTGCTAGAGGACCTGCAGCTGAGGAAGACACATGCCATCCATAAGGGTGGGGAGGGATTTTTAAAATTATTTTATATATAGGGCAGGAATCTAGGAAACAGAACAAATTTAATAAACCACTTCCTTTTAACCAGAAAAAAATTATATATTCAAATATGCCTTTACTGCTTATTAATAAAGTCTCAAGTAAAATTCAAGCAAAAAGAAAAAAGAAAAAAACCCCAGTTAATCAGCCAAGAATCACAAAAATTGTAGAAAGATAGAGAAATATTTTAAGAAAATCAAAAAAAGGATGGAAGAGATTATGTTACCTTAATTTAATGGATAATTTTATTTATCTTCATAAAAGTAAAGCATCATACAATGCCAGTTCTGCCATGTTTATTTTGCTCTATAAACTGTCATCCTTGCTAGAAGGAATAATCTAATAGGCTTCATGCTGAGAGAGAAGAATCCCAACCTCACCTCTGTGTCATCACTATAGATGTAATATAGAACTCTGATGAAGATCTCCTCTGAAATGTTGTGAAGAGTCACCACAGGGATACTGGGCTGGGTTTGTAGCTCCTCACTCTCCGAGAAGTGGTCCTCTAGAAGGGCTTTGAAATAGTCACTTCGGCCACAGAAAAATGCCTTCAAAAAGAGAAAGAATATGTACGTGTATGCATATGTATCAGAGAATGAGGTGGCTGGATGGAGTCACTGAAGCAGTAGGTGTGAGTTTAAATGGACTCCAGAGGATGGTAGAGGACAGGAGGGCCTGGAGGAAGGTTGTCCATGGGGTGGTGGTGGGTCAGACATGACTTTGCAACTAACAACAACAACAACCATGCATATGTATGTGTGTGGGTGTATATGTGTATATACACACACACACACACACACAAATAATGGAATCTTCTTGGTTAAAATAGGCAAGCAGCAGGATCCAGAAAGGGGTGTGTGACAAGGTACCCATTCCAAACTTTTTAAAGATCAAAATTCATCATGCTTGCCATCTTTTATTTTATTTTTTGTTTTATTGACTTTATTGTAACTTGGTTGTTGTGAGCTACCAAGACTTGTTGAGAGTTGGGAGGCATAAAAATTTCATAAATAATAATTTATTGTTATCTGATAGCAGATTCCTATTCTGGAAATTTTCTACAAGATGTCCCATAAATAAATGTGAGTATTATTGGTTCTATACAAGATCTTTTAATATTGAGGAATACAACAAGAATTGACCCAAGTCAAATCAATGCACCCTATACCTTGTGACACAGGAAACTGTAATTTGACACTCGGAAACACAGATCAGGATAACTACTGAAGCTGTCGGTGCTATCAAAAGGCAACTCTCCAAAACCTACCTATACACAAAACAGAAATAAAACAACTTTAATATTTGACCGTATATTTAATAACATTACAATACATAAATGCAGTTATGTATATTGTATATGTATAAATGCTGCTAATGTAATCAGCAATCAAGCTTTATACTCAGATGATAATTTAAAGCTACTTGCTTTATTACCTGCTTTACTTAACTTAATAAAGATATCTATTCTATCCCTACTAATCAAATGACAGGAGAAATAAATGAAAAAGTGTTTCTATTAGTTTTCTCCAAAATAAAACCTATCCAGAAAATAAGCCCTAGCATGATTTTTCCACACCTAATATAAGCCCTAACAAAGCCCTACTTAAGAGTCTGGGTAGCCGGCGACCCATCCATTCCGTCTGGTTGCTCGCGGTGCTGCTGACATCAGGTGAGGTGAGGCACGTGGAGGGAAGGGTAGACCTACCGCAAGCACCCCACACGAGTTTACCTCAGGACCCCCGCAGCCAGGCCATCCATGCCCCAACAACTGTCTTATGGTGGCAGCATTAGCAGCCATGTCCAGCAGGAGTCCAAGTGGCCTCAAGCCCACTTCTTCTGCTTACTTGCGGCTGCAACGGAGCAGGAGGCCAAGCAATATGCTCGTGCCACGGCCACAAGGCAAGGCAGGTGTTGAGGCGTGGATGGCGTGGCTGCAGAGGCCCTGAGTTAAGCTGCTGTGAGGCGTGTGGGGTAGCTTCACCCACCCCTCGCCTCATGGCCACAGCACTGGCGCGTCGTTCAGCCTCCTGCTCCATTGTGACCGCAAACAAGCAGAAGTGGGCCGGCGACCATGTGGGGTACTACTGGATGTAGCTGGTTGGAACCCCCGCCGTGAGGCTAGGCAGGTGTTGGAAGTGTGGTGGCCTGGCTGTGAGGGACCTGAGGTAAGCCAGTGCGTGGGGCAGCTCTACTAACCTGCCTCACGGCTTGAACAGTTGTGCACCACGTGGCTTCATTCCCTGTTGTGATTGTGAGCAAGCAGAAGAAGTGGGCCTCCCATACATGGGAAAAAATAAGACATTCCCTGAAAATAAGCACTAGTGCTTATTTTGCAGCCCCAAAAAATATAAAACCGGGTCTTATTTTTGGGGAAATATGGTAGCAGAAATGTTACCATACATAACAGAGCAGAGAGCACCTGGCCTATGCTAAATGCAATACAATACAATAAATGTTGTCTAACAGGAAACTTGGTATAAAAATGATTTATAGTAATTTTTCTGTTTATAGCAAATCAGAAAATTTTACCCCAATGTTTAGATTTGCAGATCAAAGTTCTTTATGAGTTCCGTATTTTATTAGTTTACTTTTGTTAACAGAGCCAAAAATGCAGGGGGGTGCAGAAAAATATGAAAAGGATTTAACATAGGATTAAAAACACATAATGGCCGTGTTCTGAATGCTCATCAATATAATCCACATGCAGTCAAAGGATGTGTGCAACTTCAGAGTGTTCTTTTATTTGGCATGTGCTCAGGCTTCAATTTTCTGCACATTCTCCTACACATTCTCCTATAGGCAGTGGGAACTTTGGCAACTTCTCTTTAGAATAAGAGTGAAAGTCATATATATTTTGGACAGTATGAAGCACAAGAGCTCTCACGCAACTATATATTGCAACTATTACAAAATGAAAAGCAGTTTTTCTATATCTAACATGCCAGTATATTGGAAACAGAGAATACTGAAGCCTGGCATCCAGAATTGGCAAACTCCAAATATCAAAGTTTATTTTCCTAAGGCTAGAATAAGTGGGGTCTCGAGAGCTGGACGAACTGAAACATGCTCTTGTGTTAAGGCTAGAGTGAACCCACAAGTATTTTTTTCAGTGACATGGAAAACGACAACATCTCTACCAAACACGATGGCTAGTTTAATAAAACTATCTGAGCTGGCAATATTGACAATAGCAAGCCTTTTGCAAGATATTATGAAAAAGCAAGACGAAATGAGGCTGTCAATTCAGGTCAAAAATACAGTTATGAGTAGAAGGTAAACTACCCATCAAGATTATGTAACTTTGATTACCCTAAGAAATATGGCTCCCCCCCCCCCGCCCCCCCGTATATAAAATGAACTCATTTATGTTCCTGTTCCTTTAATGTTTTTGGAACCCAAAGTGCCATAAAGTTTTATATATGAAACATCTTAGCTTTCACCAGTATTTTATCATGATGGAAGTAATTCAGTCTACATTCTTAAAGAAACTGCATGCCTACAATATTACTCCATCTGGAGTACAGATTTATCTAGAGTTATGTGAAAAAGTAAGTACACCCCATTTGATGTCTGTAGAGATTCTCAGTCATCCAGGTCATGGTTGTCCCAAATGTGCTTTTTCAGGAGGCAACTTGTTTTTTCTTATGAAGACAGGAACCAGGAACATTACTCAGGTGACCCTGAGGATACAGATAAACCTCCAAGTGCTTCAAGGACTCTCTAAAAGGATGCAAATTACCAGCTGTCCGCAAGGAATATAAATCCTTCCATTACCTACTATCCTTGTCAGAGCTAAAGAAGCTTCTTGGATGAGAAGCGAAACATCTTCAAAAGAAAAAACAAGAAAGTCCAGTTACCTCCTGAAAAAGCACCTTTGGGACACCCCATTTTATGTTTCAACTTTTTAAATGTATTTCAAAATACAGATATTTGGTCTTCATTTCAACAATACCACTAAAGCAAATGTAACAAATATCATGCACCATTTACATTTTGTAGTCCATCCTGTAATTCAAATAAACCTAAATGCAAATGTCTATGGAAAAATTAAGGACACTCCTACATTAATCACTATCTCAAATATCTAGAACTAGACTCAGGTGCAAATGATCAGAACTTTGTTAGAGAAAATCTGGGAGGAACCTGTCTTGTTGAAATATCAGACATTTAGTTTGTTTGCTCTTTGCTGTTGAAATGTGTAGTATCGCCATGCTTAGTTCAAAAGAACGCTGAGGCCTTCAGAAAGATTATTGATGTCTATAGGTCTGGGATTGGATTTAAAAGGAATTCCAAGCAATTGGACATTAATCATTCCACTGTCCAGAAGATCATCTACAAGTGGAGATTTCAAACAATTGCCAAATTGTCCCAGTCAGGCCATCCTAGTAAGTTTGGCATGAGAGTAGAACACAAGATGCTGAAAAAAGTCTCTAAGGAGCATAGAATGCTATATTCACAACCTACTGATAGCTCTTGCCCTACTGATGTCAAAACGCATCAGTTTACTTTTAAAAATAGAGCTGCACAACTTAGATCTACATGGAAGTTGTGCCATGAGAACTTTGCTATCCAAAAAGAACACCAGGGAAAGACTAAAGTTTATTCCTGGTATTTGCCAAGACCAGGACTTCTGGAACAATGTGCTCTGGACAGAGAAGAAAAAGATAGAGATATTTGGCCAAAGTATACATCATGTTTGATGTTTGATCAAAACCAAAGACAGAATTTCACCAGAAGAACCCCAACTGTAAAATGTAGTGGCAGAAATGTTATGATTTGAGGCTGTTTTGCTGCATCAGGCCCTAGGCAGCTCACCATCACAGAATCCACTATGAATTCTTCATTGTATCAGAGGATGCTCAAGAATAATCTGAGACTATCTGTCAGAAGACTAGAACTCAGACAAATGAGAACTTTGCTACATGACAATGACCCTAAACATTCCAGTAAACCTTCCAAGGAATGGCTGAAAAAAATAAAGAAATGGAGAGTTCTCTAATGGCCAAGTCAAAGTCTGGATCTAAATCCCATCAAGATGTTGTAGAATGATTTGAAATTGGCTATGCATGCGGGAAACCACTCATCTTGCACAGCTGAAAACATTCTGCATGGAGAAATGAGAAAATTCCTCCCCATCAGTATTAGAGACTGATAGACAGTTAAAGGAAACACCTATTTGAGGTTGTTTTTGCCAAAAGGGTCCATTAGTCAAGGGTATTCTTCTTGTACAGGAGGAAATGAAATGTCTGTAAAAAATTTTTGTTGAATAAATTATTCCAAAGTCAATTCTTCATAGTACTTTTTATTCAATTACATTACCTTTATCTTTACATACTGCATGAATGAAGATAAATATTGTTATGTGTACATTTATTAAAAATGAAAAAAAAACCTGTACATGGGGTGTACTTAATTTCTCACAGGACTATAATCTCTAATATACGTAGTTGGTGCATGCCTGTAAATAAAAAGTTACATTGATATGGATTTCCCCTACAGTCTTTATACCTTTGGGTTATGGGACAGAGAGACAGGGGGAAAAAATGAAATCCTTAACACAATTATGTGAGATAATTTTTTGGCCAAGAATCTTGATTGGTAAAATTTACATGATAGTGTATTTTCATATTTTATTTCCTAAAATTTAGTTAACAAATATAGGAAAATATGAAAGATATAGTTTAGAAGCAATGAAATACTGGCTCAAACTCCACTGTACTACTATAGAAAAACAAGTGATAAATTTTTAGTCCTGCCTATGAATAATTTATTAGGATACTCTGGCAAAGATTTTCTTTTTTTCTGATTGGGACTATACTATATCATGAAGGGCAGTAAGATTTTTGTATGACTGCCAGCAGAAAGTGAAAACAGATAATGTCTAATTTAGCAATTCTGGCTGCTTTTTTATCTAATACATTACAAAGCCTTTATTTATTAATTTGATTTAGGTGCTACCAGATTCCAAGACAACTCTGCATGGTTCACAATACAAAACAAGTAACAATAAAATAGAACAATACAAGTGAACAGCATCAGAATCCAGTGAAAAAAAACATAACATAGGCAGAAACCCATCTAGCAAGAGGACCACATCTGTTCTCTCCCAAGGCCTAGTAGAACAGTCAGATTTGTAAGGCCTTCTGGAAACAATCAGAGTGGAAGCCACACACATTTCTGAAGGAAACTTCATTTTGAGAGGGTAGACACTGTGACAGAGAAGACATAGTTCCGAATCCTGACAGATGGCATTGTTTAATAATAATCATAAAAATCTGGACTGTGTCAACTCTGCCAGCTTTTAGTAGTTGGACAGAAACCATGGAAGAGAGGTGGTTCCTCAAATAACCTGGCCTTATGCCATGCGGGCTTGTAATCAGCACACTGATTTGCACCTAGAAGCACAATGGCAATCAATGTCGCTTGTGAAACAATGGTGTCATGTTTGCATATTGCGGCACGTTAAAAACTGCCAGCACCAATGTTTTTGGAACAGCTGAAGCTTAAAAGTGCTTTTCAAGGGGAGCTCCATGTACAGCATGCTCCAATATTTGAGCCCTGGGGTGACTAGGGCGTGAGTGACTGTCTGACAGTCTCCCAACAGAGAAGGGGCAAAACTGTACACAAGAAGCTATGTAAAGACCTACTTGGCCGCAGTGGCCACCTGACCTTTGACAGGAGCTGGTAGCCAAGAGAACCCACATCATATGATATACAACCCCATACAAGAGTAGAGATGAAAAAACCCTGGACCTGGGAGACCTCAATATCCACAGTCATTCAATTTAATAGGATTAAGTTGGACCTATTTTCTCCTCATCCAGTTCCATATCGAATATCCATTCATTGGAATAAAACTCTGACATCATCACTTGGCCAGCTCAGGATCCAAATGTATATTGAGTATCATCAGCATATTGATAATATGCTGGCAGATGATCTCAGTTTCATGTAATGTTGAATACAAGGAGAGAAAGTATTGAACTATGGCACTCCAAAGGACTGATTGGAACAAGCCATGAAGGAAGAGAGTAAACACTGTTCCCAATTTCCAACCCCCACAGTCAATCCAAATCAATACTATTACACTGATGGTGTCAAAAGCCACAAAAATTCAAGGAGCACAAGTGAGTTGCTTAAGTCTTAACCCAGCTCTGATAATCAACCATCACAACCAAGGTTGTCTCTTGGCTAAATGCCAGTCCAAGACATTACTGAAACCGAGATAATATGCTTTCTCTAGGGTTCTCTGCAACTGCAGCCAATCACTTACTCAATAACCTTCCTTAAAAAAAGACAATCGGAGACAAGATGCTAAATTGTTCAGAATAGTTGGATCCAAGGGCAGTCTCTTGAGAAGGCACACCACCATTTCTTACAAGGTTGAAGGCACCACTCTCTCCCAGGCCAGTAACTCAGCACAGACCTAAATGTAAATCATCTCCCAGATCACCTTACTGACTCAGGGAGGGTCCTGGATCTAATAAACAGGTGGTCAAATAATTATCTGGCAGAATATTAAGATAAATTAATTATATTAGATTACTCAAATGGAGGAACACATCAAAGAGATGGAAATGAGAAATGAAATACTTCCTACCCTGAATTCAGCTGGCAAGGCACACTCTGCTAGCAGAGCGAGGTCTTCTTGCAACCTTGAATCACCTGATGGTTCAATTGTAAGCACCTTTACACAGGTGCCTGGCTTGGAAGAAACTAAAAGAAACAAAAGCAAAAATATCAAAACTTTAAAATACTGAATATTTTATTGACATGATCTTCTAACATGAGTTAGAAATATACATATAGATAAATTTCAGAGTAATTAAGTCCAGAAAAGAGAGGACATATAGTAAGAAAGCATTTGTAGGATAAAGTTGCTTACATTCATTTGGAGCCGACTTACAACTATACTGCTACTTACAGCTATACTGCTACCATGAGAGCTGTGGTGACGCAATGGTTAGAACGAAGTATGGTGCAAGCTACTTCTGCTGGCTGCCGGCTACCAGCAATTTGGCAGTTTGAATCTCACTGGCTCAAGGTTGATCCATCCTTCCAAGGTCGGTAAAATGAGGACCCAGATTGTTGGGGGCAATATACTAACTCTGTAAAGTCCTTAGAGAGGGCTGTAAAACACTGTGAAGTGGTATATAAGTCTAAGTGCCATTGCTATGAACATGGATTGAGTTTGAAGCGGTTGGCTGAGCTTGATCTGTTGATTCCCAGTGAAGTAGGTGGTTTCTATCCCACCTTTCTTCTAAGAACTTGAACCAGCATACCTAGGGATCTCCCTTCAATTTATCTCCATACTGGCATCTATGGACAGCATGGTACCCAAATGTCTTAAACCAAACTACTTTAAAGTCCACCCACTTCCATTAGAAGACTTGACTTTAACTTGACAGTTTCTGCACGATATAATTTCAAGATTCAACAGATATATACAGAAGATTTAGTGTCATATTCTCACCATACGGTGAGATATTTTATTTTGGTCTTTGATCTATTGTTCAGTTTTAGATACTATGATTACCGATTCTAGTTTGGTGAACTAGATATTATAAAATAGATAAATTTGCTTTTGGTAATTAATATAGGAGAAATGGCTACTTTTCCATTTTCCTATAAAGAATGACAGTAAGAATGGGAAGCTTACCAAATTCATACACCTTTTTACATTTGGTTTCCAAGTCTTCAATGAGATCTTGGAGCTGACATTGTTTGGCCAATCTCTTGCAGTCATTTACATATTCTACATCTATGTCCAAACATCCTGGTAAAGAAAAGAAAAGTGCTAATTATCCTCTCACTTCATTCTTTCAATTCATCCCTTATTGTTTACCCATGTCCTCTGAACTCACTCTCTCCCTCCATACAACCATAGCTATAAACTTAAACTCCAGCACCACCCTGTGGTTAAAAATAACACCAATTAATACTTTTGTGAATAAAACAGGTTATAGTTATCTTAAAACTATTTTCTAAACGATTTTATTAGCATGAAGCCTAAGAGAATTCTACTCTTTTACTGTTTTTAACCCTTTATATTTCTTGTTGTTTTTTTCCCATTGAAAATCATAGACTTTGGTAGTTGTATAACTACCAAAAATTATGCTACTAAATTTCAATGTCTGAGGCAGGGTGTCACTAGTAAATACTTGAACATTTGTCCAAATCTTCACAGGTGTATGAGGAACATAATTAAAAACAAAAACTTCTCTTTAAAACCCTTTTTAAAACTTTCTGGAAATCCTAACCACATTCACTTTGGTGATTATTACTAATTATTTATGTATATATGATGGCAAACTGGAAAACCACTTTAGTGATACCAGAGCATTACTGTCATAGGGCATGTCAAATTTTTCAACTTTCAATTTCTAAACATTAGGGATGCTCAAAAGTTGTGACATGCCTTGGGGATTGTAAAGATATTTTGATTACTTTAATATAATTTAGATGTGCTTGGTGAATAACTACATAAATATAACTTTTTAACCTTTTGTTTGTTTCATGATGTCCACTCAATTTTGCTCTGAACATCCACACACTATTTAATTCTAATCCAAAGCAAAAAAGCTGCCCACCCATGATCTATTGATTCCCAGAATCTTTCAAGAAATTCCAACAAATCTAAAACTCTGACAGGAAATATCAACAGGAAATTTATGTAGAACCTATTACAAATAAGAAATGAAATCCATAGTTTTAATATATCACATTAGATTTACCTGTATAGAGGTATTGCAGAAGGGAACTAAAGGCTGCTGGATTGATCTGTATATGGAACAAATGAGTTATATACAAACTTTTGAAAGAAATAATAATATAAATGAGACCTAAACTAGAAAGTAAACAGGGCCTAGAATTCTGTTGGCTGAATTGGGCAGCTACAGGTGGTGCGAAATGCAGACTCATTTGCAATATTGGCAAGTCTCATTACCATGTCCTATAATGGTTATAACACCCCTGCTACAAGGGATACCGTGTTTACTACTTGGCTTCTGGCTGTAATTCAATATGTTGTTGCTTATACAAAGCTCTGCATGGCATAGGGCCTAGCAATTTGAGGGACCATATGCGTCCTCTGGGGTCCACTCACCCTGAAAACTCTGACAGTTGGCTTGCTTCAGATTCCATTAATTAGGCAAGGTCATCTATGGGGAACCTAAAAAGCAGGATTACTCTGTTGCTGGGTCTGTCTGTTAAAACAGCTCCCTCCCCCATCACTCCAGAAATCCACGTGGCTCCCACTTTGTCCATATTCAAGCATTTTTTAAATTTCCCGCAGGCTTGAGTTAAGATGAATGGATAGGCCTCTTTGAGGGGAATGTTTAAGGATAGCTTTGCTCTACCAGGTGGCCACTGTTTTATGAATATTGTTTCTTTTTACAGACTTTTTCACTTTCTGAATCTGATCAGAGCCACTGGGAGTTGACTGGCCAAAAAAATAAGCAAACAAGTTTAAAACTTCCCTTCAGTACTTAAATTTTAATGGCAAGAAGTCATCTATTTACAAATTACGTAATCAGTTGGGTCAGATTTAGGACCCAACTGGGACAGGGTGGCAGAAGCAGACTCCTTATCCTGATGCTTTTGCCATCTTAAGACACATTAAGCGCCCAGGTAACATTTGATGGAAGGCTGAATGTTTTGCATGAAAAATGAGTTTGGAAACTGAACTGAATTTCCCATAATTCTAATAAAAAGTGTTTTATGTGATCTAGACTGCTCATGAGAGTTCATCTTTCTGATCTCATTTTCATTTTAAAATACTAAAGAGAAATATAAAACAGAGGCTCAGTTTTCAGTACCTCTTAGTTCTAATTCACCTGCACCGCAGATTAATGTATCTGAAAGTGGAAATGTGTGATACTTCTGTTAGCATGATCTTAATGGTAACTCATAATTCCATCCGTTTGCAATAAAATTTGTTGGAATCTGTTTTTGACAAATGACAAGTAAAGCCTCAAATGTAAAAATATTCAGGAAAAAACAAAGATTGGATTTCTTACCAATGGATGTTTCAGTGCTATGACATTCTTCCCCTTCCACTTGGTCTCAAACATTTCTGCAAAATATGCACTTCGAGCACCCAGTACACATCGATGAGCACAGAAAGACTTCCCATGAACAATAAAAACAATGTCACTGTGGTAACCCTGTTCTAGAAGCCTGCAAGGAGATTGAGAGGGAAAAGTAGTTTCAAGATTAAACAAGAACAGTGTGCAATAATTCAACTTGACATTTCTATGCACTGAGAGGATACATCACCACCTTCCCACCCCCAAAGAAAAAGATTAGAGCTGTAAAATAGCATTATTAATATTGTATTTGATAAATCCTATTTATTTTTCTTATTGTACTGTTGTTACAGTTTTTACTCTGGATGATAAATTCTAAAGATATAACACCAGTCACAACTGTGTGAAGAAAGAACAGTTTTAAACACCATTGTAGTTTTTTTACACACTCCATCTCCTTAATCACTTAAATTCCTGGCAATCAAATCCTGCGCTAATCCTCTCTAAAGGCCTTTAAAGAAGCCATGTCTTTCACAGTAAGTGCACAAATCATCTCTTCAGCTCAAAGACATATTTTTCTGAGTCTATGCAGATACTGGGCAAGTCCCTGCAAAGGTATGGCTTCTTTAAAGAGCAAAATACAGCTAGGGAGAAGAACTAAACCCTGCATACTTCTATATAACAGAGTGCCATAACTTAAAATTGTCACTTTTATTGCTATGGGAAGGCATGATAAGAAATAGGCCCATTTGGAATTTTGAAAATAAGTTGATTGTTGTTACAAAAAAAAAGCTGCTTTGGAGTAGGGATACTCAGAAAACATCATCAAACATATATGATGATACAGCCCCTTCTGAAGATAACTCTTTTGCCAACATCAGAATATAGCGCTTTACCGCTGAAGAAATGCATCATAGTAATCCCTCTTCATGCACTTGGCTGTGATCTGCTTATATTCCTTCAACACTCGTCGAATAGCATCATTCAGAGCTCCATATAAGCAACGTTCACCATCGAACGTGTTTGCTTCACATTTTGCACCTGTAGGGAAGATCAGTTTACATAATGTAAGCATGTTCCACATGATATAACACACTTTTATCAGTAATATTTTTAGAAGGGTGACTGACAGAAACCAAATAACTTCTATAGGGACTTTAGATATCACTGCAATTTTTTAGGTCCAAAGAAAAGCTTATGAAATAGAATTAAATCTCATCCAGTGTCATCCACTTAAAGAGCTCATTTAAGACTATGGAGCAATATTTTAGAGAAAGTACATTTTTTATTGAGCATGAATTATAAAATTATAAAATGAAAACAGAAATCCTGTAATGGACAAATTTAGGTCCTCAAAATATTAGAATATTACATGAAGCTACTCTATTTAGCTGAAATAATAGAGAAAAATCAATTTCCATACAAACTATAAGATATTTAGAAAAACAATAAAAAATAATTTGATGTTTTCATTACATTGAGTTGAGTATACTATAATAATACTCTCACCTACGTTACATTTCATTTCTAGTTAGCTGGTCTTCATGCAGCTACAGTTAAATTTTTTAATTGTAAAGTATCTTATACCTGTATCCCTAATTTTAGAAAAGCAGCAAGTCATCCCAAGAAAATCTTCATGTATTCATGAATGTGCTTTGCGATTTAAAACACAATTTCCTGTTTTGATGTCTGACCTTTATTTTCTCAGGTAAACTTTCCTGTTAGAAGAATTGTATAAAGCTAACTGCATTCCTTTTTAATATATTTTTCTTGCAATCAAATTATTAATAAACAGTGTATTAATTCTCAAGAACATATGGATAAAGACATGGGTGAGCAATGGCTTGGTTTAGATGGATCTCTAAGCTAAACAGCTATTCTTGGTTTTCAGGTTTCTTCTACTATCCACTTCATAGATAACGACAGCTGGCCATTTCAAGCTTGCTTTTGAAGTGAATGTATTTCTGGTGTAAAACTTGGTCCAGTTAGATCTCCCTCTAATCTAATTTACCCTGTTATATGTATCAATATGAAATGGAACAGAAACTATGTTACATAATATGTCACCAAGTACTCTCCAACCTTCTAAAAAAAACCTAGACGCATAAACAAAAAGGGGAGAAGACTTTCTTTGGTGTTAGAAACAATTTGAAAGGAACTATAATTTTCATCATAGCAAGATTAACTGACTTTACAGTTCCAGTTCTAGAGGGCATAAAGTGACAACATATATTTATTTCTAGAAGAATATATCAGTCTTCTTACCACTGGCTAGAAGATATTGCACAAGTTCTTCATGTCCACAGAGACAAGCATAATATCTATAAAAGAGAACAGTGAGATCAGGCACTTGAAGATGTTCTAATATCTCCCTCTCAATCTCTGTTGGAGCTAAACATACTGAGATCCTTTAGCCGTTCTTTGTAGGCTTGCTTTTCTGGCCTTTCACTATCCTGGTATCCTTCCTTTGAACTTGTTCCCCTTTTCCTTCTTAAGGACCAGACACAGTAGTCCACGTGAGGTCTGACTAGGGCAAAGTAAAGTGGAACAATCATTTCCTGTGATCTAGACTTTATGTTCTTATTAATGCACCAAGATAGCAACTGTTTTTTAAGCAGCTGAATCACTGCTGGCTAACCTGTAACCTTCTATCAGGAAGGACACCCAAATCGCTTTTAAATGTACTACAGTCAAGCCAGGTCTCCCCCACCACATTAAGATATTACAGGCATCTTCACTTAACTACTGGACTAAGTTTATAATCAGTTACAACATCCACAGAATGGGCATTTTACAGTCCATAATGCACTCACAGCAAAAGGATGTGCAATGCCTCCTGCAATCACCTGACTGCATGTTGGGCAGGTCAGCTTTATGTCCAATTGTGAATTCCACAGTGATGTGATTTGTTATGTTTTTTTGCTTGTTTTCTGGCCAAACAAAAACCCACTCAAATGAATGGGTTTTCTTTACAACCAGGGCATTTGCTTAATGACCATGGTGGCATTCACTTAAAGACCATGGTGGAAAATTCCTTCTGGTCACATTATTGGAGACTTATGACTCCAATGACTTATGACCCTAATTCCAAGTTCAATTATGGTTGTAAATTTAGAGCTACCTGTTTAATCCTCGCGATAAAGCACTCAAATAGCCAAAAGTGTTGCTGCATTTGCCAGATTATCCCTATATTACCAAGCTTTCAAAGCTTATTTCCATAAAGCTGTTTAATTTGGTTATATGTATATGCAAAGTATTTTAAAATTAAAAAAATTATTCAGTTCCACTACAATGTAGGATGACACCCCCAAGAAAACTCAAGACTAGAATTATGCAAGTGTAGCAAATAAAAATATATATATCTTGGTTCCTAAGCACTCTCACTAATTGTATCACTGAGCTCACACATCATATTAGATCATAATGTGGCCTATTTGGTATTAGCTTTGCATATTTTAGGACCAGTCATATAGTTTATTTAATAACTCATTATGAGAAAAAACATAGCATAACATGATAGTCACACAATGGAAGATAATGTATTATCTGATATTCCCTCAGTTGGAAAGAAAGAACTCATTTCCAATAAACAAACCAAGAATGATCTGCTCCTTTTATGCAAGACTTCCAGAACAAATCACATTAAATAACAAACATTTTAAGCAGCAATTTTCTTATGAGAAAACGCATTCGGCCTTAGATTTAAACATATAGAACTGTGTATACTTAAATCTTGTCTTGGCTCTAGAAAGATAGCCAGGTTACTGCCAGCAAAAGTTTGTGTGAAGAATTCATTCTACAATAAGAGCTCTTTTCCCAATCTCATCTTGAGGAATCAAGATAAAACAAAGTTTAAGTAAGTTGTCCAGAAATTGCTTAAGCTTTTAAGGCAAAACCACCACTTTGATTTTTTTCCTAGATTCAGACTGATAACCAAAACAGGACTGATATAATCACAATTTTCTGAAAGATACTTGGATAAAGTTATTTTTGTCTACCTCATAGACAGCAGACATTCTCACCAATCCCACAATGTTGTCTTTCTACCACTAGTAATGCAAAATAAATTTACATAAACTGTTTCCTCACCACCCTCTGAAAAACTGTTCTCATTTCCCCCCCAATTTTCAAAACCAATCAAACTCACATTCCAATAAATTAATCCTGTGCTAGTGGGTGTTAGTTTTCTCACAGTAGAGACTGCCTGCCACATTTTATGCCTTGTACCATCTAGTTGGCATTACGTGCTGTCATGGACTGTGCTATATCATAAAAGCTCTCAAACGCAACTTTTCTGATATACTGCCCTCCAAGTGTTGTTAAGATACACCACTTCTCAAGGTGGCAATGCTCAGTTTTTCTGTTTGGAATCAAAAGACAGCTGCTTACAGTGTATGTGCTTTGCTTTCTGTGAAGATCTTTAAGAACCATAGGAAGCAACTGGTCAACTTGACAGAGAAAGGAGCACTAGTTTATAGGCACTCTTATTTGGCACATGGCTAACTAGAACCAGACTGAACAATGACTGAAGAAGTTTTCTGCAAACTCCAAACTTACAAATTTGAGGCAGCATGCTAAGAAAATGAGTTCTGCTTCAAAAATAATACAGCTCCAAACATAAATTGAAAAAAAATATGGGAATTACTGTTTCCATGCTACCGGCTAATTCAAATTTTTCTAGCAACTTATTCAAATGGCCATTTTCAAGCAATGATAAAAAAAAACTCTATTGTTACCCATAATATTTTTGCAAAGGAAGAAAATTATCCAGGTTGACAGAGGGGTAAATACTAGAGTATTCTTCATACATATAACCTGGGAGAGATTACTTAAAAAATACTTATAACAAAAAGCATTTTCTTTTCAAAAAATAGAAAAGATAGAGAAATGCTGCAAAAACTGAAAGAAAGACCTTAGTTTTTCTTAAATCCCCGTGTAAGTTACCAAACAGTATGGGTGTCTCAAGGCCAAAGCACTCACAAAGGGGTACTGTCCCATTTGTCTCGGACATTGATTTCAACATCTCTCTGTTCAAGAAGGTATCTGAAAGACAAACAGACAATTTTAATAACTAAAAAGCTATTCCAACACACTTTATTCATGGGTTGAATTTTCTTTTTATTACAAAAGTATCCCAGCAACGGAGGCCTCTCAAAGCCTCAACCCAAATAAGTGAGAGTCGACCAAAAATATTTTTGCACATTACACTAATCTACTGCTTTCCATTTGTCTGCCTACTACAGATCAAATCTAACTTTCTAATGTGTGTGTGTGTGTGTGTGTGTGTGTGTGTGTGTGTGAATTAAATAACAGAAGTTCTTTTATCAAAGATATTATTGATAGGAATACAAATATTGTCCCTTTATATTAGGAGCATGAAGAAATAGAAGCATGCAGCAAAAGCTGCATTTGTTTCCACTTCGTTTTCAGGTGCAATTCCAAGTGCTAGTTATCACTTTTGAAATCCTTCATGGCTTGGAGCGTCATTATCACTAAAAATGCTTACTCCAAATAGAATCTGCGTGCAGAAACTAAAAGCTCAGAGTTCCCGTTCACCAGGAATTAAGGCAGAAGGGACTAGAGACAAGCATTTTCTGCAGAAACTCTATTAAGAAATTTTCTATTATCAAATATAGCATTGGTCCTTCATACCTAGAATTTAGGAAATTAGCTCTATCTGAGAGCATTTGGACTGGGAAATGAGGAATGCATATGCCAGAGGTGAATGATAGCACAGCAAGGATATAATGCTATTCATGATTTTTTAAAGATAGCATTCTACTGATATAGACAATATTATTGTACAGACTAATAGGATTGTTATATTGTTTTTCTCCATGCTGCTTGTATTTCCACTGACTGAATAATTTTCCTAGAAACCAGGAGGGTGTGAATTCTAATCCTATTTTAGGCATGAAAGCCAGCAAGGTGACTTTGGGCCAGTCATTCTCTCAGCTTACCTCACAGTGTTATTGTTGTGAGGAAAATAGGAGGAAAGACTATTAGGTATGTTCACCACCTTGAGTTACTTATAAAGTAATAAAGGAGGAATTGAAATCAAATAACTGAAATAAACAAAAAAAAAGCATCTTTTGTTTCTTGAAAAATCCTTTAAGCACTATACTAATTATCAACTGATTTAATCAGATTTAAATGCTGTGAAGTACATAATATAATCACAAACACAGATCCTCTCTTTATAAATTACTAACAATTATTGTTAGCTTGTATTTTGATTATGTTCTGTTATACAGTAATAGCACTGAATTCTACACTAAATTCATCTAGTGAAAAAGCAGCAGATAGTTTCAAATTATCTTCAAATAAATACCATGTAATTTTAGGATGGGACTGTATATTTATAAATTGCTTCAAAACTCATTTCACATATACTGTATCTCTCTACTTTTTACACTAGCTGTGTTAGGCTATCTGAAGTTGTCAGCTGTTTTAGGGATGAAGTAGAGCTGATAAGCAGGAAAACTTTTTTAGAAAGAATGTAAGAACCAGGGGCTCTGCTAGATAGCAGCATTGAGCATAACTTGACTGATGGAAAAACAGAACAAAATGAAACCATAAGGCAGGTTCATTCTACTTAATACTTGGATGGTAAAGCATCAGATAATTCCAAGGCTAGACCAAGAAACAAATTAAACATTCCAGAGGCAATATCAAACCAGTTTCATGTCGTTGCTAAGAAAATTGCAGTGACATATCCATCAAGTCACCAGGAAGTGAACCTAACCAAGAGGATGTTGGATTTCCCACCACTATCATGAAACATCTTGAGTAAGAGACTTAATGATACCAAACAGTAGTTGCTTTGGAAGTTAAGTAAATGTGAGCAGGCCAAAAGCATGTTCATCATGACAAAATTAAAACAGCATTCTTTCTATCATTTTTGGGTCCCAAATATTTAATATACTGTAACATACATTTGTCTTACTATCTAACACAGGATTCTAACACATACTTAAAATGATCAAATGTGTGGAGTATGCATACACACTTTGCTGCTGTTGGAAGAGAAAAAATGGAAATGGGAGTGATGAAAGCTAATGAGAATTACCTACGGTATAGTGACTTCCAAAAAGCAAGTGTGAACCAGGCCTTCTTTCATTGAATATTTTAATATATGTAGTGTGATAAGAAAATTTGGTCATCATGAGAAATGGTGTTAATGCTTCTTTTGAACATCTCACTACTGAATGCTACGAAGCCAGATGTGGTGCATACATAACCCATTTCCTCCCAAATGTAGTTCTCAATCTAGGATAGAGGTAGTCCTCAATTTTACAGCCATAATTGAGCCCAAAATTTATCTTGCTAAGTGAGCTTTGCCCCATTTTACGACTTTTCTTGCCACATTTATTAAATGCAGTTGTTAAATTAGTAACACGGTTAAGTGAATCTGGTTTCCCCATTGGCTCTGCTTGTCAGAAGGGTCGTAAAAGGGGATCACATGACCCAGGGACATTGCAACCGTCATAAATGCGAGTCAGTCGACAAGCGTCTGCATTTTGACCATGTGGGTGCTGCAACGGTCATCATAAGTGTGAGAAATGAACACAGTGCCGTTGTAACTTTGAACGCTCACTAAATGAACTGTTATAAATCGAGGACTACCTGTACTTAAAACACAGCTTTTATTCTACATTTTCCTCAACCTAGGCAACTTTTCCCTTGCATGCCACATAACAAGGGGCAATAAGCTGACTTTGTATAAAAAAAGAACACCGCTTGGGGGGGTTGAAAGCCCTACTAAACAGGTATATACAAAAGTATGAAGGCTATTGCTTAACGCATTGTAAGCCGCCCTGAGTCTCTGGAAAAGGGTGGCATATAAATCGAACCACAAATAAATAAATAATAAATAAATTCTCTGCTACCCCTAAAAGGATGGTAAATAAGTAATTAATACTTAGAAGCCCTTTCAATTAAGTGCTTGGAAACACACACACTTGTCCACATTCATAAGGTTGAAGAGTCTGAAAATGCAAGAGCCACTTTTGAAAAGTTCTTTCTGGCTGGTAAACAAAACGCCCATCGGACTCTCAAGAAACACAAAGCCCGAGAAGCGGGAGTTACACCACCCCATACTACAACCACCCAGCCGACTTCGTGGGGGGGGGGTGTCAAGTTATGCCCCAAACGGGCCACCCGCACCTTCTCCACCCAGCGCCCCTTAAAAGCCTCGGCCCAGGCCTCACCGCACGCGACAAACATCGCCCTTCTTGCAGCTGGTGAACAGGTCGTTGGTGTCCATGGCCCGGCGGAAAACGCCGCATTGACCCGGCCTGGAAGGGAGCGAAGGTGGGTTCGGGCAAGTGGGTGGGGGCGGCGGAGGGCGGGCGGGCGAGGCCGCGGTGGGGAACCCGAGCGGGACGGATGTAAACACGACCGACGGGGGCTGAGCCTACCAAGGCCGGCCCTCCCTCTCTCCACCCCGGCTAGCGCGCAGGCCCGCCCCTCTCTCTCGCCGGTTCGCAGGAGGCTGGACCTGGCGGCGGGAAGGAGCTCCGTCTCTCGCCTCTGCCCCGCTTGAAAGGTGAGCCGGGCCTGAAAGCCTAACCCCCCTCCACCCCGTGGCTCAGGACGGTCCCAGCTGCGCTGAGGCGGCAGCGACTCGCCCTCTTCGGACGCTACCGGCGACGGCCTGGTTGCCCCCGGAAGCCTCAGTCACGCCCGGGGGATTTGCATGCCGCCCGTTTTGCGACCCTCGCCCAGAAAACGGCGACGCCGCTCGCTTTATTAAGGCTTGAAGAGACCGCGGGCCGCGAAGCCTCTCTCTCTCCACGCTCCGGAAACCGGCCCCCATTTAAAGGGAGCGAGGGCTCTGCAGAAGCGACCGAGAAGCGGAAGCGCCTGTTGGGGGTTTTTTGGTGTGGCGTTTTTGAAAAGGACGTGAATTGAAAACGCTTTTTCAATTGAATTCAATTCAATTGAAGGCGCTCAGCCCTGGAAAGGAAGAGCCGTTGAGGAAAGGAGGAGGAGGAGAAAAAAAAAGCCGCAGGATGGAGAGAGAATTTGTGTATGAATTCAAGGCCGGGAACCAGCATTTTGTGCTTACCGTCCCGCTGAAGTTCCCCGTCCAAGAAAACGTTAGTCATTTGCCTAGGCGTCTGATGCTTCTTCATAATTTGCCTTGCTTCGTAGAAAACGGCTTGAAAGAGTCTCTGACTAAATTCATAGAGGAGGAATCCGTGGAAGATTTTGACAGAGAAGCCGAAGCGGCTCTGGAAGCTGTAAAATCTGGTAAAATGGATTTACACCAGCTGGCGAAGGCTTGGGCCCAAGCTTACACTGAGTCAACTTCCGAGCATGCCAGACCAGAAGACCCCAGCTGGGATGAAGATTTTGCAGATGTTTATCATGACTTGATCCACTCTCCTGCCTCTGAAACTCTGTTGAACTTGGAACATAATTATTTTGTTAGCATCTCCGAATTAATAAGCGAGAGGGATGTGGAGCTAAAAAAACTGCGAGAAAGACAACGGGCAGAAATGGATAAGGTGATGCAAGAACTGGGGAAATCATTAACAGATCAAGATGTAAACATGTTGGCAGCTCAGCACTTTGAATCCCAACAGCTACTGGAGAACAAGTGGAGCAGTGAATTGAAACAAACCACAGCAATCCAAAAACAGGAGTATCAAGAATGGGTGGTAAAAGTTCACCAGGATCTGAAAAATCCCAACAGTACTATTGGTGATGAGATCAAAGTCACTCCTAATCAGTGGAGAGAATCTGAAGAAGGAACTGGAAGACTCTTTGAGGACCAGAGGCAATTGGAAGAAAGTTTCACTATCCATTTGGGAGCACAGCTGAAAACCATGCATAATCTGCGACTACTGAGAGCAGATATGCTAGATTTCTGCAAGCACAAGCGCAGTCACCGTAGCGGAGTCAAACTCCACCGTCTTCAAACTGCACTATCACTTTATTCAACTTCCCTTTGTGGTCTAGTCTTGCTTGTGGATAATCGCATCAGTTCATACAGTGGGATCAAGAGGGATTTTGCAACTGTTTGCCAGGAGTGTACAGATTTCCATTTTCCTGGAGTTCAGGAACAGCTTGAAGTTGTTCAGCAAGTTGTACTTTATGCCCGAGCACAACGCAGTAGTAAGGCCAAAAGACTAAATGAGGCAGGAAACAGAAATAGTGGCAATGAAGATAAATCTAAGAATGGGGAACAGAATCAATCAAATATTTTTCCAGGAGAATTTTATATCACCCGACATTCAAATCTCTCTGAAATTCATGTGACTTTTCATCTTTGTGTGGATGACAATGTGAGGTCAGGTAATATTACAGCCCGGGATCCTGCAATCATGGGCCTCCGAAATATCCTTAAAGTGTGCTGCACCCATGACATCACCACAATTAGTATTCCTCTTCTGCTGATACATGATATGTCTGAAGAAATGACAATATCTTGGTGTCTGAAAAGAGCAGAACTTGTATTTAAGTGTGTCAAAGGATTTATGATGGAAATGGCTTCCTGGGATGGTGGGATTTCTCGAACTGTTCAATTCTTGGTACCACAAAGTATTTCTGAAGAAATGTTTTACCAACTGAGTAACATGTTGCCACAGATTTTCCGTGTGTCATCTACGCTAACTCTGACATCCAAACACTGAACTCTCTTCAAAATTCTGCAAAGGATTAATAAAATGTTTCTGGACTTTAATACCAGAAACACTTTGATAACTTGAACATGATTGTTGAAATTCCTAACAGAAGCACCTGCAATATTTTAAAAAAAAAGTCGCACTGTACTTTCATGCCTACACAAAGGGAAATGGGTAATGGGTTATTTTTTTTCCTTCTTTTTTTTTTTTTTGCCATTTTGGGTTCCAGGCCCTCCCTCTGTTAAATGCTGTTCTAAGGTCCTTCAAACTCTTAGATAACAAGAACTGTAGTAGAAAAGTGGGAATCTAAATGTCTGTGTATCACTAGAAAGTAGCTGTATGTTGAAAATATAATTATCAAAGGAAAAAACTTGCTTTTTTTAAGATATGGATGTATTCATATAGAAGTTTCCTTACCTGTTTTGTTTTGAGAGTGATACCAGTTTGTTACTTCACAGAATAGAATGTTAATACAGGCAAATACAATGATAGCATATGGTAAACAGTTTTTATATTACCAGGTGGGAATTTAGATTATATTTTTTTCTGTAGGGCTATAACTCCTACTTTGAAATATTTGGCTGGATTTTTGCAGCCCAAATACAGTAGTCCTATTTGAGATGGCATTATGTTTTGGTCTTGAGTTCATAAAAGAGATAAACATGAAGAATTCAAAACCACTGCAGTAAATTAAGAGCTTCAGTTTTTTTTAATAAGAACAGGGGAGCAATTCACGTCCTTCAAATTTCATTGTGGGATTCATGCACAATGAGCCATATACTGTGACCGTTTGCTTGGTTTTAGCTTCATACGTTATGTAAACTTGACCATTGTAGTTTGCAAATCATGGCTTTAAAAACATGATTCACACAATGTGTAGAAAAATATAATTTCCCTTGCAAAGACACAAGATATTCTTTCTATACTATAGGTGGTGAAAATAACATCAGAACAACTACATCTTAAGTTATATCTTTCTGCCAGCAGGCAAAAACATTTTCCTTAAAGTACATTGATGGGTTTTGTCTGTTGATTTGATCAAACATGGTGCTATTCAGTAATGGTAATAGTGGAGAAAGAGGGGATGGAAGTTGAAGAAATAAATTATTTTTAAAAAGTATAAAAATTAAATCTCTAATTAAATTAACCAGGCATGCCTCTGCTCTGTGCTGCTCTTGGTACAGACATGCCTCTGTTTCATCTAGATTAAGAGATGAGTTTGTAACCCACAATTAATACTAATTTAAGTTTGGTTTTAGCAAAATACACATAACTAATTAGATTATTTAGGAACCTCGACTGGATCATAGACAATTATTATGACTGTTGTGCATAATAAATATAAATTTAAGTGAAGTAAAATATGATATTGCTATTTTGGTGGTCAAATTTCCCATTATGGAGATTTTATAACGTATTTGTCACCTTAGCAACATTTCCAGTTCTTTCCTGTTTTCCAGGATCTTGTTAATACTTGTCTCTTAAACTATTGCTTGGATTATCAAAAAAAAGAGGCCGTTAAGATCTAATGAAATGATCAGAGTTATGGCTTGCCTATTTAATAAGAACTAAAATCCAAAAGGACTGAAATATTTTACAGATAGTCCTTGACTTATGACCAGTTGCTTAGTGATTGTTCAAAGTTATGACTGACCTCAAAAGTACTTATGACACAGATTTGAAGTTCGAAGGCTGGGTCCCCCTGCGGTCACATGATTTCATTTTTGGCAGTTAGCAACCAGCCACATTTATGGGCAATATATAGCGTTCCACAGTCATGTGACTGCACTTTATTTATTTTGTTTGCTGGAAACCAGTGTTTGCTTCCAGACAGTAGATTTGCTTAACAACCACTGTTTGCTTAATGACCACTTCATTCGTTTAGTGACTGCCTCAAAAAAATGTAAAATTGGACCAGTCATGTAATGACCCACTTAACCTTAATTATGGGCTCAAGGTCATAAATTGAGGATTATCTCAATTTACAGAACAGCCATGTAGTATAAAATCTACCTATTTCTTTATATTTCCTCCAATAAATGGAGCTTGGAATTCATCATGTTGAGTTTCTTTAGTTTTTAATAACTATAAATTGCTTTTGTTGAGTGTTTCTTAATTTGGGGCAAAATTGATTTGAGTGGTTTTTTCTACCAGAAAATAATCATAAAAGTCAAGTTATTTTATTTTTATATCTGATTGCAATGTTACTTTTAATCAATTCAAAAATTTTGTCTTGTAACAATATAAATTTTTGAAATCCTCCTTTTCTCCTACTGAGTGATGCATTTAACTTAATTTCAAATTTAGTCATGACTTTAGCTCTATAGATTCTGATTGCTAGAACTGCAGCAAGATGCAGAATATATGGATGTTGAATTTTTCAGCTTTTTTATGCCTAATTATGACAAGAAGTGCCCAAATTTTTAATACTGTTTCTTAAATGTTCCATCTTAAGTATCAGTTCTTCTGATTTTATCAAGCTAAAAATAATATTAATACAATTAATATCATAAGATATTATGGAATTCCAAGAGCACCTTTTTTAATGTTTTTATAAAAAAACTATAAAAATTATGTCTGCTTTTTTTCTATTGTGTTTACTAATCACTTTTTGTTGAGATTTTTTTATATCTATCTGTCTCCAAATAATTGTTTATTGATTTGAATTGCTGATGATTTGCTCAATATATTTTGTATTGTTCTAGGAATATTTATCTAAATAGTGAGTTAGAAACACTATGTCATAAACTTGTTAATTTTCCAAAAATTAGAAGAGTATTCATCATTGTAGAAAATCCCTTGTGTTTCATACAATTAGGGCATGACATTGGCATCCTTCAGTCTCAAAAGACTATGGTATCGTGCTCTGAAAAGAAGTCCTAAAACATCATCTAGTGTGACTAAAAAGGCCAATTCGAGAGTGGCAATCCCTTCCACACAGAGGGCAGATACATTCTGTCCCCTGCCCAGCCCCCAGATTTCACTGGTTCCGGGACTGCCTCTTTGCTTCAGCCTGCCGAACAAGTATCTCTTCGAATTGGAGAAGGCCATGCTGCGTCTTTAGCCTCCAAGCTGAACAATCAGAGGTCAAGGTTTCCCAGTTGTTAATGTCCATTTCCAGGGCCTTTAGGTCCCTCTTGCAGATATCCTTATATCGCAGCTGTGGTCTCCCTCTGAGGCACTTTCCCTCAGTACAATACAATTAGGGCAATATCATTAACAAAAAGATTTATAGTAGTTTCTAATCCCTGTATTTCCAAACACATTCTATTTGTTCTAATGAAATCGCAATAAGTGAACATCCTTGTTTAGCATCTCTTTTTGCCAAAAAATGTTGATAAATTTTTGATAAAGGTTGGTCTTTACCATGAAACCATTTAAGGCTCTCACTCTGCTTCAGGTCAGTATCAGAACTGAGAAGAACTAAAGAAAAGCTGAATTTTGATTTGCTTTGTTTTCCCATAGCTTTTCAAAATGATTTATTCTAATCTCACCCCATTAGAAAGCAAGATTAACCACCAATTATAATTTATTGAGCAAACTGTAGCTTAAAAAAAAAGTAAATAGTGGTTTAGTGTGATATGTGAACCCAATCTACAGTATTTGAATTCCAAAACTAACCCCTATCTTATTTTCTGATTATTTTCTTCTGTGATTCTATAAAGAAAAAAAAAGTATATTCAGTAAAACCAATCTCTTCTTCCTACTGTTACACTGATGTTACCAGCACCTATTTTGCTAAAATAAGCAAATTAATTTTGTGTCAAACTAAGACTTGATCTGGCTAGCTAAGAAAATTGTATGAGTTTGATACTGTAGTATGTAAAGCATGTTTATAGCAATATATGAACTGTATTGTGGCTTATCCAGCAATTATTATAGCTAATGTACGTTATTGACAACTTAGCCCCTCAAAAATGATAACAAAAATGATAACATAGTATGCTATGCTATCCCAATTTATGAATGTTGGAATGTATACCATAGAATTAGGTGTTATTTGGAGGGCAACTAACAATTATTGGGTTTGTTCCTTCAAACTACATTTCACTTAAAATTTGTATTGTTCATATCTTCTAGGCCATTTTGTTATGTATATTGGAAAAAAGTTTGCTTGACTTTTATTCAAGTTTATTATTGATTTATTGTTTGCTAATGCTCTTGTAGCAGTATCCAATGTTTTGTTATGAAAAGTCATGAAGAATAATTTAAACTGTTTATTAGAAATAATTAACCATTTGGAGAAGCAAAAACAATGGATAGATTAAAGGAAGGACTCAAAGATAATTTTGCAAAAAGTCTTCAGAAGTCATGGACATAGGAAAGAACAGAACCCCAAAATTAAAACATTTAAGAAAATGAAGAAATTGAACAGAGCAGAATGTTCAGAATACATTTGGCATTGTTTCTTGGGAAAAAGCTTTGACTTGGATAAGTTATTCTTTGTAGAGCAAATCCTCTTCCAATGGTAAAGGTGTAGAACTGAACATTTTAACTTCTGGAAATGTTTTTGTAGCACACCATACTAGTATTTATTTTTTTCAAGAAATTTCTAAACAAAACATTTAAATTACATGGAAAAGTAAAAAGATTAAAATATGTAAAACCTGTGCTTAAAACTGGTAAATACTTCCATTCTCTCTGATAACTTGCAATTTGCTCTTCTTGGTCTTTACAGATCATTGCTAAAGCATTGCTAACTGAGATTTAATGTTAAATGTGTATTAAGGGACAACAATCCATTGATAGTAAAATGACTTGCTTAATTCTGTAATGATCCATGTGTTAGTAAAAAATAAATACAATGTTGATCCAAATGTGTTATTTTTATTATTACTTGGATATAATTACTAGGTATAGAAGAGTGCCATAGGCTGTGTCTGAATTCACATATAAGGATACTTCATAATAGTTGTTGAGTGTGAACTATTGAGATTTGCAGATCTGTATAAACTAAGATCATAGTGACTTAGTAAATGTATAAATCTGACAATTATGGCTTATTAACAAACTTTTTCCCCATTCAATAGCGTTCTCAGAGACTGGACAATTCACTGCAGTTTTCTTGGCAATGTTTCTTTTTCCCCCAGAATACCATTTTTTCCTTCCTAGGGATGAGAGAAAATGACTAACCCAAGGCCACACAGCTGGCTTTGTGCCTAAAGTGGAATTAGAACTCCCAGTTTCCCAGTTTCTAGCCTGAATGCCTTAACCCATAACCTTTCTGGCTCTGTGGACCGGTGGTATTGGTGGCAGTGGAAAGATGGATGGTTCAGCACAAATTGAGTTTTGCCTGCTCATCGTGGCCTGGCTACAATCTGGAGGTTGCACCCCCCTGCCTTAACCACTGCATCAAAGTGGCTCCCAAACATTATTTTGAGCTAATTTATGACCTAGCTCCATATCTGTAGAAGGGTCATGATTTGTTCCCATGGTTCTTACATTGGCTGAAGTCATGCAATATGTTAAGATCCAATGTGGTTTATCACTAAATCAGAGTAAGCAAAAATGGCTTAATCCAGTTACATTTATTGTTGAACAACTTGTTTGGTTTACATGCCATGGGACACTAAGACATAATGCGCACAACCACAGTAGCTGGATTCAAACTTTTGGATCCAGTCCCAAAAGCAAAATTATGGCTTTGTTTATGGTAGATGAAATCTATATGTTCAAGCTATCTATTAAGATAAAAGAGGCTGTATTCACAAACCATGTTTACATTGGGATTATGAGTTTAGGCCACTGAAGTTTTTATCGTGAAGTGTCAATTTTCTGGTTTTCAGCAAAATGGACTGGTATATAATTGGATCAAATTCTGCTGTAATTTCTGTCATTTAAGTGATGAAGGCCACCCTGGTTATATCATAAGGAACCATCATGGATAACTGCAATTTTTTCATTCCCTACTGTACCAAAAGTACTATACATTCAATATAATTATTAGGGACGCTGCAAGATTAAGCTATTGGGGACCAAAAATGGGAGCTTTGAACTACTTCCCCAGCTGGTTAAAATGTATTTTAGCTCAAAACCTGGCCTTAATACTTATAAACTAATAAACTATATACTAAAATCCAAAAATATTGGAAGTTGACTGGTTGATTCTCTAGTCAAAAGGTAACCATATAGGTGAATCCTTTTTCCCCCCTGCAAAAAATTAGAATGGAATTAGTTCAGTTTCCTATTATAACTTTGAACATTCTGTATTTTCTTTTCTAGAAGAGGAAATTCAATTTTATTCTCCAGCAGCAAGAGCCCAAAAGTTAAGTTACCTTAATCAGAAAATTTCAGTTTCAGTTACGTTCAGCTTTAAAGTTGACAACAAAGTGACTCAATTTTAACTTATACAATTACTATATATCACTACATTTTCAAAAGGCAGAATATAAACAAATAATGTGTTTTTAATTATAATTGATTTTCACTGTAGATGTATACATTATATAGTTCATATACAGTATTTGTTCAAGCAGCCCTAGTTTTTAATTTATCATTAACACAGTTGATAGGGAAAGAACAGACACAGGAATCTTGTTCTGATCAGAAACTTTATTTCAAAAAGTGCCACTGATAACTAGGAAATATGTACAGTACTGGCAAGTGAAATGACAGATAAAACCATTATATTTTGCAAAAGGTAAAATTACGTTGAGAAAATTCTGCCCTTATGTAGGCTATAGAAATTTTTCAGATGAAGACCAATAATGAGAGGCTGCTTAGGAAAAAAAGATTTGGAGACAAGAAGTAATCATGTATATATATTCTAAGTGATTTGATATATTGATACAGTCATCCCTAAATTCAGCTTACTGTCAAGTACATTTACGATTGCAACCTCAGTCTTTCAAAGACGGAATAATCTGAATCAATTTATTTTAGTCCATAAATTCCTTGCCCACAGAAGGATTTCACATCCCCACCCCCAGTTCTTGGCAATTGAGCTATTTTACTAATGAAGATTTAGCCCCCTATTTTAAAATCATTGCAGTGATCTAGAGGACTACTAACAATCAAATATAATGTACATATCTATGATAAGCCTAAATTGTCTTATGTTTCATGAGATGGACCAAAGGACTACGATATATTCTTTCCCATCAATAGTACTCTTGAGAGAACAAAATATTAGAGGAGACTTATTTTAATCAGAAATTCATGAAAATCAGTATCCATGACTGACCCAGCTAAGCAACATCTTTATAGCAATCTCTGTGCTTTATTCCCTCAAAGAAATTCAACCCTTTTCAGGCTAAAGATGATTATCTTTGAAGTGTGATTACAACAAAAACTAAAGCTGTGCCATAATTTCTTTCATTTATTTGAAAATTTCCTCTTATCATCTTAAAAATTAGAGTGGATTGTGTTCTGTGTGAAGAAATTGTGTGCAAGCCATTACCAACAACAGCAGAAATATGTTTATGGCTGAGTTCACATCTCATGCTTAATCACAGCAGGATTGGTTTTGGTTCTGCTGTAATATTATTGTGAACACAGCCACCGAGTTTTGTAAACTGCACAAAACTGTACACATTAGTGTTATACTGTACATGGCTCAGGCAAATGAAGCTTGTCCAAACTACAGCTCAGCATGATTGGGAATTTGGGAATTCATGATCCTCTGAAAAGAAGGAAGTAACTATAAAGGAAGAAATAAAGGAAAAATAATGTTGGGGGCTTATCCTAATGAGCTATTTTCCCACTAGGAATCTCATTATTGTGTTATTACCCCTACACCTGCTTTTTGAAGTAGAATTACCAATTTGGAAAAACTGGTCATTGATTTGTATGGAACAAATTGGAACGCATAATAATATGTATTCATGAGTACTACCATATGGACCAATTCAGAGTTCTTAAGCAACTCTGTTACCATAGTTGAAATTGTTATAAAATTAAATATGTAGTTTGTAGTTTTAATCATGCACTATGCTAATGAACCTATGCTAATAGCTGAAAATGCAAATGATCTGGATGGTTTAATAGTGAAAGTCAAGGAGCACAGTGAAAAACTCGGATAATTGAACAAAACTTAAGACAACAGGTTTAGCAACCATTTTTATAAGGGACAATAGAGATATTGAAGTGATTGATAGCATCTGCCTTTTAGAATCAACTATCAACAGTAAAAGAACAAGCAATCAAGAAATACACTGCAGTCTAGCACTTGGTAGAGTAGCAATAGAAAAGATATTCAGATGCCATGATATATCTGTATTGACAAAGATCAGAATTGTGCTGACAATGGTTTTCTCTGTGATGCTCTATGGAAGTAAAAGTTGAACTTTGAAAAAGCAGGCTTAAAAGAGACCTTGCTTTTGGAGAAGACCAAAATACTGAGAATACTATCCTGAAAATACTATGAATTGCCAAAAACAAACAAATGGATCAGAGAACAAAGCAACATGAAAGTGTCAGTCAAGGCACAAATAACAAGGCTCAATTTATTATATGAAGACCCAGCTTCTTTGGGAAATCTATACAAAACAAAAGGAGAAAAGGAGAAAAGCAGAAAAGCAGAAAAGATTCACTGAAAGACATAAAGGGCCAGACCTGGGGTTGATCATATATCAGAGAAGGTCTATACCAGTGGTGGGTTGCCCCTGGTTCGGACCGCTTCATAAGAACCGGTAGTAAAACCGGCGGGAGGCCCCGCCCACCACCCCGGATGTCGTCATCGGCGATCTGTGCATGTGCAGAAGCGCACGCTATCCTGTTGCGAACCAGTAGTAAAGGTAAGTAGAACCCACCCCTGGTCTATACATTTGGTGACCAAGAATCAGCACTGATCTAGTGGCATGTAACCAATCAGTTTTGATCAAGCAGGGAATCACAGTCCTAAGAAAGTGACCAGACAAGTTATTTAATACATGTAAATAAATATAGACCATATTTTTGCTCCTTATAAGATTAAATTTGGCTTTATGGATTTATTGCAGTTTTCCTAAGTGCTAAGTTTAATTTATGGTTTAACTTGCAACCATAGCTGCTAAAGCGGTTTGCGGTGAAAAAGGAGGCAGGGACAGTTTTTGGCTGCAAGTTTCCAGTTTAAAATCTAAGACTAATGTAATTTCTAGCAACAGTTGGAGTTATGCCTAAATCCATGACAATTTACAAAGTGTCTCATCATTTGTGAGGGATTTACAATGAATTTACTATATCTTATTAAATGATATTTGCAAACTAGTTTGTGCTAACTCTATTTCCCCCCCTTATTTTGGTCTTCATTAACAAATCATTTAAATTTGCAACTTTTAAGACAAAAGCACTGTTACTGAGCATAAGATTGATACTTTAAAAGCTGATTTTAGAGTGGAGAGAACTGATTGAGTTTATACTGCACCTTCAGTTATAAATCAAGATCTATAAACCAGAAAGCTTAAATCATATGGTTAGCCAATAGCTCCCAAATTTGGAGAGATGGTAGAGACATGAAATTCTGAGAACAGAGTCATAGAACTAGAAGGCATTACAGGTTCTCATTTAGCAATTTCCTCAGATAGTGATTGCTTGCAGTTACAATGGTGATGATAAAAGTCATTTTACAACCAGCTCTCACATTTATAACTTTTGCAGGTTTGTAAAGTATAGGAAAGCTGAAGTGAGCACAGTTTCAGTTTCACTTAGAGACTGCATCACGTAAACGACTGAGTTGCCAGGCTTAAATGTGGTTGCTAAATGAGGACTATCTCTATTATAGAAAACTCCCTAGTATACATTCTTACCTTCCCCCTGACCTTGAGGTAGGGGTATTTTCAGAGAAAGAATTTTCATTTACTAAGAAAGCTTTTGAGGCTCTGGTGGAAACTAAAAGCATTTGTGGAAATAAGAATGATGCCAGAGGGTGATACTTTCCTTTACAGTTAGCCAGCTTCCCATTACTGTAATTAAAATAATAAATATAACGACTTGGTTGAGAGCTCACAGGCAGCATGGGAAATATTTACATGCACTGCATTTGTGATCCCAGCACTAAATCAAACCACAGTGTGGCTTAGTGTGATATATGAACCCATGCATGCATGTATAGAGGCACAATTTCCAAGAAGTCAAGGATCTGGGTTGCCATACCGATCCAAGGAAATAGTCATTTCCCATAATCTCTGAAATTTTGCTCTTCTATATCTGTGACAAAAAGTCATGTGCAGTACTGGAACATCTTCTGCAAATGATTTATTGGCTATCAACAAATTACCAACACAGTAGATCTCCATAAATTATGGTAATGTATAATATTCCATACAATCCGGAAATCATAGCAATAGATCTTCTAGACATTTGATTAAGAATTTTCATCATTCATGCTTGCATAATTTCATACCAATAAAAAAAGTCTAGTGAAAAAGTATTTCTGCAATTATTCAGAATTATTCTTTCTTCTTTTTAAAACTAAAACTTGTGACACAGCCCAAAAGTTTCAAATCTATACAGGTGTAAAGGCAATTTTTAAAATCCATTTTGCAAAATGTTTCTTCTGTTCTTCTTTGGGGGGTGGGATAAACTTGCCTTGTAATTCTAACAGCACAAATCTTCCTTCTTTTCTATGTTATTTTCATCAGTTAAAATTCTCTATACGGCAGAACTGTGTGCATTTACTTGGCTGTTGGACATTAATTTCCAGGAGCCTTTTGGTGAGATATTTTAGGATGCTTGTAGACAAGGCATGGCATTTCTTCTATGTTTCCTTTATTTAGTTTTTATCCTAATTGTCCTTCAAGTGAACTCTAAAAGATTGCACCTTTTTTCTAGAGAAGTCTTCTTGCAGCATTAATATACAAACCTTCTTTTGGCTTTTGTTCCATTATTTTTCTCTGTAAGTGATTGTTAACTCGCTAAACACAGCATATTTTAAAGACTCGTCAATTAATACCAAGTACTGAAACAGTACTGAAATAATTTGTGGGTGAGTATAGAATGGGGGTAGATAGGGAACAAAGTAGCTTGAATTTTTCTGGGTCTGTTCTTCTTAGCCACCAGAGGTCAATGTGGTTCAACATAAGTTGCCAAGATGGCCACAAATTTAACTTGTGGAAGAAGACCATCTCCTGTGTTAGTCTTGCCCATTATTTTTACCATGTTGCTTGATTTCAATAAAGGCATTATCCAGCTGAAGTAGATAGTTATGTTTGCTTTTCTATGACTACCTCCTATGCTTGTACAGTAGCTCATAATTTACGGACCTTGAGTGCTCTCAGATAGGATTGTATTGCGCAATTATTCTGCAGTTTATTCCTTAATGAGTTTTTTTTTCCATAGTACACAAAAAGATTGGAAAAGCAATGAAAAAGCAGGAAATATAATAGATTAAATGTGACAGTGTCTGAATACTTTATGAAATTCTTTAAATGAGGGAAGGCGATGGCTTAATAAAAGCCTTGTCTAGATTGAAAGCATTCTCTGCCTTACAACCTATGGTTAACTGTCACTTTTTAAAAATTATGCAAATATAATAAATATGCATTTTAAAAAAATTAATTGAAGCTATTAAAAGCCAAAATAGTAACACAAGAAACAGTGTAGCATTTGATCATATCTATGTTGTTTCAAGGCATCATATTGTATTGATAAACTGTCATATAGTTTTTGTTTTAAAAAAAGTTGGTTGTAAATATTTGCAAATTAATTGCCCTGCCTTCTTACAGAAAGAAATGATTATCAGTTAATATAATTATTGAGAAATCAAGCAAGGTATTGGTTATGAAGCAGAGAGGTTTTTTTGCAAATATGTCTTCAGTTCACTTCCTTCTCTCCCTCCCTCTCTCCCTCCTTCCCTCCCTCCCTTTCCCATCAATAAATCTCACCGGACCCGGTTTTGTATTGTTAGTTGAAAGTTTTGAACAGGTGAAAGAACAGGTCAGTTCATTACATTGTTACAACAAATTATTAGCTGTTATAACAAAATTCCTTAACTCACCAAGATCTTGGTATAGAACAGCCTTATAGGAAAAAAGACTAAGATTGAGAAAAGAGAGAGTAGAGATTAGGAAAATTTATGGGTGTTCAGAATCAAACGATGGTTAGGATTATATAACATGATAGCCTAAACCCTATTAATTAGGTCATATACCATGCTATGGCCAACAATGGTATGGTTTAATGTGAAGCCCTTGTTCATGTTAAGATTCGGATAAGACTGTAGATAGATTTCTATAACATTGTGAACCACAAGCTCCCTGATCTAACTTTAAATTAGTCCATTGTATATGAATCCAGCCACTGAATATGTTGGTTGGGGAAAATTCCCTAGGCAACATAAAAATCCTCCCCAGGGAATAATTCGAAGCAAATTGCATGTGACAGACATCTTATGAAATCATGCAGACAACATACGAAACTGCAAAAAGGTACGATGATGCTAGCCTTGCTATATGTCAGAGCTGCTGGCCATGAAAAACAGTTTAACTTGTATAGTAAAAGCAGAACTTCATGAAAACATGAAAGTAGCTGTTGGTTCCAAATTGACATAAACAGAATGGTATAGGGTCTCCTGCTTGGGCAGGAGGTTGAACTAGATGACCTACAAGGTCCCTTCCAACTCTGTTATTCTGTTCTTTTCTTCTGTTCTAAATCCCTTGAGGCACAGTTCTTTTATAATGGATTGCAGTGTGTAGAAGGAAAGATCATAGGCAATATTTCTAACCTTACATTTAAATAAACATTCTTTTATTGTCATGCTTAAATGGTCCCATTTTCTGTCACTCATAGTCTGTCCCAAAGATGGCTGGTTAGCATATCCTACAGTAATTTGACTGCAAAGAATAACCAAATTAAAAAGCAAAACAAATTTAGGGAAATATGAGTGAAAGAAAATAAATGTGATGGCGCTTCTTTTAATCAAGATAACAAAAAAAATCAGCTACAAAGAGAGTTATAACTAATTATTTCTCATAATTTCTGATATAGATAGGACAAAAAAGAGACAAACAATAAATCAAATGAATAAAGAAAGATACAAAAGATCTCAAAAACAGCATCAGTTAGAAATTAAGATGCATGTATCTCCCCCACAAGAAGGAATATGTAATTTTGAAATATACAATTTACACAAGTTTACTACCCCAACTGAAATCTAGCTAGGGATTTATTAATAATTTTACCTCTATTTCAACAACACTATCTAAGAGAAAGCATTTATATAATATTTATATATATATATTTATCAATGAAATTAAACTGTGCTAAAAATCATTTTATGTCTTCTGGGGACAGATTTCAGTACTCAAAGTGAGCTACAGATGAGATACACACAGATTTCATTTACAAATTATTGTCAATTTTCTTTCAGTACGTATGAATTTTTATGAGCGATTCTTCTCTTAAAGTGTAACTTGCAGTTCAGCTGGATATGCAGTCAGAAATCTAGCATTTTTCAAAATAAGAAACTATGGGATGTGTGCAATGTGGTAATATTCTGAAGAGAACAGAGCCAAAAAAAAAAAAAAACAAGATTATTTATCAACGTTGAATATATGTGACTGAATCCAATACTGCTTATATGATTCTTAAAAGAGTTTCTGGAAAAAGCCTTGGGGCATTGTGGTTTAATCAAGTCTTTCCATTCTTATGAGAAATCTTGGCTCTAGTTTTGATCTCAAGGGCTCTTGTAAACTAACCATATTTATTTAAATAAATCTTTTGCTCACACAGATCAAGTGAGACTAAACCATAATGTATTGCATAGCTATAGAACGGCATTCCCTATGTGTTTCCTCCAAGATCAAACAAGACTAGAGACAGTAATTACCTTCCTTCTCATAGGAACTAAATTAGCTGCAGTGAAACACCTTTGAGGCTGAAACTATTTATTTATTGCTATTCTGGTCTAACTGCCAGTCTTAAGAACTTACCCAATTGATTTATTTAAGAGAGAGCACACAACTCCATATTTTCTTATTCTCTATTTCTTTTCTCATTCCATTTTTGTTCTTATTCTCTCTTTCTCTGCAGGAAAGGAATCAAACTCCCTCTCCCTATCATTTCATTGAAATTTGTCATTCATCCTCTCATCGTAATTTACTGCTGCTTTTTAAAATAAAACCTCAATTTTTCAACTTCTAAAATTATAGAATCATCATCCTATCATAGGATGTGTGCTGATTTTCAGAACCAAAGAGCCTGGGGAAAAGATTTCTCCTCATGTGGAGTCTCAGTTCGAACTGGACCATACTACTGTCCCTTCATGGTAACAAAAAAGGGAGAAAGAACACTACATAACCAAAGTTATAGGTTAGTTTACCCTAATGCTGTAGATAGTAATCATAACACTGTGACTTTTCTTGGCAGTTCTTAGCTGCCCAACAATTGTTGATACCAAAAATAGATGATAGATGATAGATGATAGGTAGGTAGGTAGATAGGGATAGATAGATAGATAGATAGATAGATAGATAGATAGATAGATAGATAATAATAGAAAATGATAGATAGATGAGAAGAGATAGATAGATAAATAGATAGATAGATGATAAAAAATGATAGATGAAGAGATATACATAAATAAATAGATAGATAGAGGATAGATAGATAGATGATAGAAAATGATAGATAGATGAAGAGATAAATAGATAGATAAATAGATAATAGATAGATGATAGAAAATGATAGATAGATGAAGAGATAGATAGATGGATAGACAATAGATGGATGGATGGATGGATGGATGGATGGATGGATAGATAGATAGATAGATAGATAGATAGATAGATAGATAGATAGATAATGTTGTATATCCATAATTTCTGCCCACTGCTGGCTAGAAGAACACATTTAAATGAGCAGATAATATGATATGCACTAAAAGCCAGCCATGGTCATGGAAGATGTTTGAGGGAAGAGCTAACTGGTATGCATCTGATGTATTCCTGACTAACCATCTGTTTTGCTTATCATGTTGTCTGAACATATTGAGTCTTGTTGAAATGTTAGTAGGAATTTATTCTATATTAGGAAAATAGTTTTCTGTATTCTCACCAACAAAGCTAGAGTAATTTAGGGCCATGTCTAATCCTGCAGTTTCCACTAAGAATTTTGAATCCACATTAAGGAGCTTCTACTGCAAAGATAATTACCAAGGTAAGGAAGTCATGCAATCTATCAAATGAGAACCTAAAGTCAGGGCAATACAGAACACCAGGACTTGTGCAGAATATAATTTCTTGCCTAAACACAACCATTCATAGACGTTCAAAAAATTGCTGCCCACAAAAAGATGCCTTAGCCCAACCACTTGCCCTTCTGTGGTACATGGTGGCTTTAGGAGAAAACCTCACAAACTTCCACTAGGACAACTGAGCAAAAGGATCAGTGGTGAACTGACTGAAGATATTAAGATTATATGCCAAAGGAATATGCATTTTTCATCATGACTTCTCCTATTGCACTTTTTGAGACAGGTTATGAACCCAATTATTCCGGCTGCTCTATTACCTCCATCAGCAAATCAGGTAGCATTGTGTCGGGGCATCACACCATTTATTTTTCAAACTTGGCCATTTTCTTCTTCTACCAAAAGACTAGAGCAAGTGCATCTTAATGTGATTAAAGCATTGGCGCTACTGACAGCAAGAGACAAACATGCCCACCCCCACCCCACCCCCTTGGCTCAGGGTGGCCCTTCTGGCTCCAGGACTGTGCTAATACTTCAGAGCAGATCTATTCCAAATGGACAAAAACCGAGTTCCTGAGGAGCCACCCTCAGCTTTAGGCCTTTAAATCAAGACAAGTGCAATCCCACAGGTGGGGTCCTCGTTTAGAGGTGGGTATCTTCCTCAAATGCCTCTCCCTCTTCATTTGTTTGCTTGTTAATCAGAACATCCCAGCTCTCCGGTCCATTAACAGCTCCCCCACCATTTACACTCGGCTTCTTTTCTTGCATCTCAGAGTGGCTATCGCTGGCTACATCCAAGGTGGGATTGTCATGGCAACCGTTTTCAACAAATCGTAGTTCTTCACCGTGTGACTAGAAGAGAGGAAACGGGTGGGAGAGGAAAATAAAAACCTTTTTTTTAAAAAAAAATGCATTTGGGAAATAAGGCAAGCAACCAGGAAGCTTTTGTTTGGAAAATAAAATAAAATAAAAACGTTTAACCCATAAAGGGACTCACCATGTTCTTCATTTTGGGCATGCGTCTCTGCCAACAGTTGTAAATCAGTCCCATGATAATGATGATGACACAAATTGAGCCGATAATAACCAGCACCACAAAGAGCTTCCCGTAATCACTGTGTGTCTGGCTGGGACGTGACTGGCAACTTGATGTAGTTGTATAGTTCTGGATTCCAATCTAAAAACGAATTGTTAAATACACTCAGTGCAATAGTAATTTATGTATTAAATTTATATGCTGCCCATCTCACTATCAAGCGACTCTGGGTGGCTTACAATACAATGAATAACAGTATAAAGCAATTAAAAGGTTAAAACTGTTAAAGCATTGGGCACTGAAAGCTAAATGTGAGCTTTTTATAATAAACACACAGAGAGAAATCCCATTCTTGCAATGTCTTCAGTGATCCTACTTCAACTGAAATGAGGAAAATGACTGGAGAAGTCCGTTGACCTGTTGGCAATAGTATCCCATTTATGGAACAACCTTTCTAGATAAGATTGCTTAGCAACAAATTTATGGTCTGCTCAGAATCACATAAAGTCTTTTTTAATTCTCCCTGTCCTTGTAAACAGCTATCGGGTATTATTATATATCAGATGGACTGTCATATAAGTCTCTTAAATACTTACGTAAAAACAGCATTTTAATATTGTGAGCCAGAAAACCTGTACTATGACAAAACTATATGCCTGCTGAAAATAAATCAATGAAATTTATTTGTTTACATTTTAAACATTTACATTTTTAAGATATAACTGTTTGACTCTGGGAGATGACCTCCAAGACTGTAAAACCATCAAGTCATCTCCTCCAAAACTGAAGAAAGGGCTGTGATTGTGGAAGACAAAAATTCAGCAGTAGAGCTCCCTCCTAGACACCTAATATTAGCAATAGCAGTTAGACTTATATATACTGCTCGGTAGCGCTTTACAGCATTGTCTGTGTGGTTTACAGAATCAGCATATTGCCCCAAATAATCTAGATCCTGATTTTACCGACCTTGGAAGGATGGGAGGCTGAGTCAACCTTGAGAGGGTCAGGTTTGGACTCCTGGCAGTGGAATGCAGAGTCATATTGCAACACTGCATTCTAACCACTGCGCAACCATGGCTCATGGTATTACTCTCTTTGAATTATTGTTGAATATTTATTCTGGAAGAGACATTATGAATTCTCATTCTGGGTACCATGGGGATGCTCTCTTCTACATATTCATTTGCACCCCCTTTGTGTGTTTTACACCAAGGCTATAGTTAGGCAAAAAGGTTTAAACCTCAGCTTGCAGAACCTCTTGAGGAGTGGGCGTTTGTGTCACTGGGCCAGAAGAATTGGCAGTGTGATTTTATTGCAGGTATGCTGCTAGAGAGGCATGTATTTCATGACAAGGCCATTGTTTCCCTCTGGACTTTGTTACAACAATGGCAAGTAAACATTTAGAGCAGAGGTATCAAACTCGATTTCACTGAAGGCCGCATCAGGGTTGTGTTTGACCTTGGGGGGGGGAGGCTGGTGGGCATGGCCAACTTGACAACACTCGTGTCAGGGGCGCCTGTGGTGTCCTGAGCACTCTGCCAGCAAAAATGGGTCCCGAGTTCTGTTTCTGGCTATGACGACTTCCTGCAACCCTCCGCCAGCAAAAACGGAGCTTGAGAGGGCCACATACAGCCTGCGAGCTCCATTTTCACTAGCAGAGACACTGTGGGGCCGGTCTTTCGCTGTTTCCAGGGTGGCCCTGTGGGCCAGATCTAAGCACCCCATGGGCCAAATCTGGCTCACAGGCCTTGAGTTTTACACCCCTAATTTAGAGAATCGGCCCCTTCAAGCAGTGAGGTCACAATCAAATCACCATTTCTTGAATTTTTCAAGGTTCAAGGAAGTTAGTTGCTTAGTGAGACCTTCTTCCTCTTTTTTTTTATTTCAACAGAAATTTAGAAATAAATTATGTAAAGAAGCTTGGATTATATCTGTTCTGCCATTCATCTACTCAATTAATTCCCCCAAAAGAAAATGGAATGGGACCAGGTTTGTTGTGATGGGAGGAAAAACCCCACTCTTCCTAAGGGAAAAGGAAGCAGTTTAAGATGCTCCATTCCTAAGGCCTCCTTCCTTCTGATCACAGGGCTATAATCAAATGCTCGGGAGGGATTCCAGAAACTAGCTCTGTTTTTTCTATTTGTTTCACTGGTATACCCTTATGAGCTCAATTGAAGGCTCATTTCCAGTACACAGATTTTATTCCAAGTGACAATCAGCAGAAATTATATGTCGTATTTAAATTCACAACATAAATTTGTCCTAATAATAGGCACTTTGACAGTTTACATTACTATAATTGGAGGGAATTGTGCAGCTAATTCAATTTCTCTCTCTTTAGTGGAGTTTTGGTGAACATGCAGGAAGGTTACAGACTGAAAAAAAATGGATAACCATTACTAAATTTCCATGCCCAAGGCAAAATAATCATGTAATGAAAATGTCACTTGGAAGTATCCAATGAATTCATGACTATTATATATTTATGGATAGAAAATTTTGGATATAATACTACAGGTCAATGTATGTTTTGGGATGAAATGTTTAACCAGTGAGACAAATCTGCTCTGCTTATTTTAAAATATATTGAGAGTTAAGTTTTGAGGAAGCAGGGTTTTCGCTCTTGTACATCAATAGGCCATTGCTTTGATATTGCTCAAATGTCCAATGAGAACATTATGCAAAGCCCTCAGATTTTCATGTTGTCCCTTTTGAACTTTCTAGATTCTGTGTACAAAAACAAATTTCCATAAGGAAAGTCAGCACGCATCACATTTGGGTAGAGAATGAGAAGGCCAAAGCAACATTCTGCCAATGTGGATTTCCTACAGACAGAACAGAAAAGTTCAATTACTGGAAACAACAGAGCCTCAATTCTCTGCATACAATGAGCAAGAATGAGATCTAGGCTTAATTTATATATTTATTTTTATATCAAATTTAGAAACCATTTCCATCACATATCAACTCTGGACTTTTAATGTCACTTTTAAAAGTTATCAGGCTCTACAGTATCTGCTGGTAGGTCCAATCAATTGTAATTGGTCAGATAACAGAACCAATCTGGTAGTTCTTCAACAAGACCATACCAGATCTCAAGAAATCGTGATATAATGCAAGAATACAAACCCACAGAATCACTCACAGCTAATGAAAACTGACATCTAATGGCAATGTAACCAACAGACAGGAAAGAAGAGACTATTGTGCATGATTACAGGGAAAAATCAATTCATTTATCCTATACAGACTAGTTTCTCCTATAGAAGTAAATAAGGTCTTACCTCAGCTAAGCTTTTCTGCACATCACCTAATGCCAAGAGGACATCATTTGTTGGAACAACCCCTAGGAGATGAAATGTATCAGATTTTTTTAAAAATGCATTAATTCAGGGTACTCTTCTTCCACTTTCTTTCTTGAGTAGAGAAATATGCCTATATGAAAGCATTATTTCCTGTTTAAAAGTAATAGTATAATTGAGAACACTTATTTTCGGTGTAGAGCCCTAAGTATGCTTTAGAATTCAAAAACTATGTTCACATCAGGGCTGTGGTTCTACATGGATAAAAAAACTGTACGTTACGAGCATCCCACAGTCACTATTATGAGAACCAGTGGGGTCTTCAATCACTGTGAAATATTGATGTGCAATGTAGTGACTTCATCATGTCAATTCTATAGTTGTATATTTCTGTCCCATCATCTGAAAATTGTTGCATTTGGGGATGACGTTGTCTGATACGTCTTGTTTTTTGCGCCCTCCCCGTTTATCCTCCATGGATACACAATCATAAGAATGAATTCTTTGTAAACATTGTGTAGGCCCACTTATTGCAAGCCTACCTCTGCATTAAAACTGCTTGAAATAAGCAACCATTTGCCACTTCCACATTAAACGATTGAGAAAAAGATGTTACATCATTCTAGAATTTGTTTTTATCCTTTCACTGTTTCCCTGCATAATATATATATCATTTAATTTTGGGTGGCAGAGCAAGAAAGAGCAAGAACCAACAACGTATTTCAACCCTAGAAACAAATTGTTCTGTGCAAGAGCATCAGTACTGTGAACCAAAAATAAATGGACCACAGTGCAAACTGGATAAAAGCAATCACTGCTGGCATGCGAGCCCTGATGGGCTTGCTTGGACCAGAACCATATGTGCTCATATAAACACAAACATACTTATTGTCTTCACATGCTGCCACTATATCTCACTGTAACATTGGGTGGTATTTTTGAAGTACAGTAGTATCACTATTGGGAAGGTGTAGCACATGTTTCCCAGTCTAGAGAGAAATATAAGAATGGGATCTGAAGAAAACATTGCAGACTAAGTGGGGATGTCATGGATTCTCCATGACTGGGACAAAGTTTGTAAATCCAGCTCAAAATTTTACATACATAGAAAATTACATCCCAAACCAGCTCAGACGATGTAGTCATGAGGAATGTCTTAGAAATGCTGCACCAACACAAACATGTAGAAAAATATGATGGGGGGTGGGAGAGGGTGGGAGGAAGTAGGATGGCAATGATTTATATAATAACTGAAGAAGTTTGAAGAAAATATAACAAGATTCTAATGCAAAACAGCAGGAGGAATCTTGTAAAAGATTAAAAAGGGAGAAATAGTTGACAGCCAGAATAAGAGTTAATATACTGATTCATGAAGCTCACTTGTAGTCCCTGAAAGTCCCACAGAGCCTTTCCAAAAACAGCCACTGCACTGAAATTTTAATTTAATTTAATTGGAAATACATGTGGAATGATTATAAAGTAAGTAAGATTTAGGTGCTTATCCTTCTCAGCTATTTGTTCTACAGCATGACTCCTGATATAACACCCAAAATACAATCATAGTTCACACCTCTGTTATATGGATGATCTAGATGATGAGCTAGGCAGAGTGGGATCTCACTAGTACTTGGATGACAGGGAAGCAGGGAATTTTATGTACAAGCTAGTCTAGGAAAATATTGAAAATATTCTAGAAGAAGACCACTACCTCCACAAACCTTTTCTGTGTTGTTGCCATGAAAAGTGTTGACATGACTATAAAGTTAGCAGAAAGTGAGCTCAGACTTTACCTATACCTTATGGCATTTGCTGAACAAATAGTAAAATGCAGGATCTAATCTGGTTTGGTCACTGAGACCAGAGGTTTAGTCCAAACTTTCAAACTCATGCTGGAGCCCATCTTTAGGGAACTTCTCTCTAGCAGAACTTCTCTAACTTTCTGCTAGAAAGAAGTTCCCTGAAGATGGGCTCCAGCACGAGTCCGAAAGTTCAGACTAAATCTCTGGTCCCAGTGACCAAACCAGATTGGATCCAGAATCATTATCCTAGGGCAGGTATTGCGTTCATTTGTGAAATAGTAAAATTCTATTGAAATGATGTCTAATTATGTTCAGTTAGATTCTGTAACAGCATGAGAGATACTTGTACATGGAAAAGACTGGAATAATCACAGTAAGGGTGATTGTAGGGTGAAAAATAAAGATACCTTTCATTTTTCACCAAAATCTTACCATGTTCTCCTGCCAGGGTCATCAACAGATGTTTTTCATTCTCATTAGGTTTGCTTAAGGAGATCAACCATTGCCCCTGCAACCCATTGTCATATCTGGAGAAGGCATCCTCCATCAGGGCCAGCAACTGGAGACCTCTTTCCATTCGGAACTCTTCCTATAGCAAAAAAACATATTTTTAGTCCCCTAAGTAAAAATAAACAGATTTCCTGAATACACACTTTCTCATCCAAATACAGTATATATATGAAAAAGAGATCTTCTAAAAGCCAAGATTTTGAAAGACATCCATTTCCATTTTACTCCATCAACTTTATTGTTTCAAAATGTGTGTTCATTTATTCCCTAGTAGTTCCATCCTAACTGCTGCCATTCTTGAATTTTGTCATTTTCTGGCTGCAACAAATAGTATAAACCAGTTGTAGTTTATGTAAGCATACGAACACAATTAAATTCATTTTTATCACCTGGTCATATAACCTGGGGATCAAGATGATTGGGAGTTTCCCAATTAAAATTCAGGGAGGAACAAAAAAAATATCCCTTTGAAGTATCCTGAAACCTCACTTCTTTATAGGTTTCAAATGTGGACAAAAATGCATTACTAGGCTGAAGGTAACACATAAGGATCTGACAAGATTTTGCCTTGATTGATGATAGAGGGACATATTTATCTACACCCCTATTGCAATGTTTGAAGGAAAGGAAAACCATAAAATATTACTAATTATTTAAAGAGCAAGAGCCTAATCATTTGTACCCAGATTCAAGTCAAAGAGATATGGTCCTGTTCTTCTAAGATCTTGCACATCAATTGGCAATGTCATCCCCACATCTATTCTGGCTCAGTTGCTGTGCCAACTCAAAGGCCACTCTAGTTATTAATATGTGCTAACACTACTGGTTGCTATGGGAACCTCAAATGCTTGGGGCTTGCAAAGGGCGAATGGAGAAAGACAAGGAGGAGCCAGACTTGAGTCACAAGGACCCACCAGAACCTCAGCTCACAAGGCAAAGCTTATGAATGGCAGAAGATAAAAATCTGGGATAGCAGAGCAAGACAGGCCCCTAATGGAAAGGAAATTATGAAAACAGCTTTAGTAGTAAGCAATCCCTGGACCACACCAGTAGAACTATTGCAGAAATGATAGGTCTCCCTCCATCACCACAGACTGAGCAGTCAGAGCCTTATGGGGAGCAGAGAAAAAGGCGTTCCTAAGAGAAAAATAACATTTCCATTGATATGACTGAACAGAAAAATACCAGCCCCTTTTGATAGAAGTTGATGAATAAATAGCCAGTGCATCTTTCTTGCAATCTCTTTTCCATTTCTGTAATTCAGAAATGTCAGTATAAATAATGTAACACAAGGAGAGCTCAGAGAACTATCTTTCATCATGATATGAAGTAAAAGACTACATGCTTGTTCAACCAGAACTGATAACCTTTAAAAATTAATGAAAATGCCTACAATTTCTTTTACCATTATGAGTATATGTGATAGAAGAAAAGTTACATTCCATCCAGTTACTCAAAGCAGAAACACTCCACTCCTTTAAATATTTCTGAATCATACTGCATTGACAGAAAAGATTGGATGCAAAGCATGATCTCTTAATGCATTGTGCAGTAATCCTGTTTTGGGTTTTAGCTGGCAAGACCAGATTTATTTCATGATATCATATGCAATTTCTTATTTCCTTGATTGCCTCTGATATACATCTTTTAAAAGCTAATTAACATGTTTATTTTTATTGGTCTTGGAACATTGAAACATCCCAATATATCATTAAGCCTCAGTTTGGATATAAATGGTGCCATTTTGCCTTCCTAAAGATCTGCACTGGTAGTAACGGTATATCTGATACACCTGTAAAATAAGAACAACTTAGCAGCCCTAGTGAAAATCCAGTTTAGACAGAACTAACATTTTTAATTTGTTTCTTTGGTTGTTTTAAAGATACTACCCTACAAAACTGTTGAAGGACAGTGGGAATACCTATTAGTTAGACAATGATCAGACAAGTGTGGCTTAAATCAATTTCAAAAAATGAATTTGAGGAAGCATCTCAGACCAGCCCCCTACCTAATTCACATATAGATAAGGTGAAGAAGAAAAGAAACACATTCAGACTTACAAGATTCTGTTACCATTGCTATTTTAATAAAATCCGTTTTAGGCCAACTCAGCATTGGTTTCTTAGTCTGGTCTATCTTATAGGGCTGACATGTACCTCTTTCCTTTAGGTGCATATATACAATTTTATTTTTTGATGTAATGGTAATGGTTCAGAATATAAAGCAGATGTCAGAATTAAATAGGCATTTATTGTACTCACTGCGTAAACTTCATACTTCTGGGTCCAGTTCAAGATGCTGGTTTTAACGTCTAAAAGAAGGCTTGCCTCTCCTCAATTTTATCTACCCATAAATTTGGGTAGCAAAGGCATGCTATGGGTCTTGCCTGCTAGGGAACTATAGATGGCAGGTCCCAGGAGGTAAGCCTTCTGTGCTTTGGGAATATTCCATATCCCCTTCCCCAAAGTGAGGTTAGCTCCATCCAATGTTTCAGAAGTCCCTCAAGACCTGGCTATGTCATTAGGCCTAGGGTCCCAAGAGGACCATTGACATGGTTCCATTATTATGTTTGATGTTTATCCTCTCTTGTACCTTGTGGATGTTTTGTATGATAATAATAACTGTTTTATATATTTATTGCTTAATTCATGTACACTGCCTAGAGTCACTTCATGTGAGATAAATAGCCATATAAATGTTATAAATAAACAAATACTTCATCCTTTGTAGAGAAGGATGATTGTTTGCCTCCTCAACCCTATTAGCCTTGAGAGACAGATATTCCATCCCTTGCATCTGTGACTCACTCCTGCTGGGTTACAAACAGAGCAATACAATAAATGTTCAGCATGAGCAGATTTCTCCCTCATCACAGATATAATTATCCCTCCATGACTTATGTATACTGAAGAACTTCTAAATTTGTTCTTGCTCAATCACCATCATTTGATTATTAAACCTTTTGAATCTTTTTATTCTAGCCATCCAAGACCATAAAAAAAGTATCTCCCTCATTTGTCAATAGTTCAAACTCCAAGAAATACTAAATACTGAAATGGCTGGCTTGCCGGTCTAAATAATGTCTGGAAATTTGCTCGATAGCTAGCATATCAATTGATGAGAGAAAATAACCTGTTGCATTTTCTAGGTCCTGCTGTGCTGTGCTGCTGTCAGAAAAGAAAAGAAAACTCTATTTCCCTCCTTCCTGTTCTTTATATTAAGAAACAGAAAACATTTAGTCCTCTTATATGCCTTACCTAAGAAATTAGGACAAGAAAACAGCTTCTGCCAATGGAAGCTGCCTATTTAAACTGCCTGTTTCCAAACTGGAGGAAAGATATAACTCTAAAGCCTGCAGTGCCAATTACCAAAACTGCAGGTAATTTACCAGTCTATCAGCAAACTTCTCATCAAGTTCTAATCTATATAGCTATCTGAATTCCATGTCTGGGTGTCACCTCTCTTCTGAAAAGTAGCAGAAGGCAATTTATAAAATAAGTTTCATTTAATGGGAGGGGAGCACATTTAATCCACCCCAATAGTCTGAATCTCTCTCCTAAGTCAGATCCAGAGATCCTCCCATCCTAAGTCTTTTTGCTGTCCCTGATCCTTTTTGGTTTTTGTCATTGAAATAATCCAGGCTCAGGAAAGCAAGAGGATGAAACTGGACCTCTAATATTCCTTTTTTTTCCTAATCAACTCATACAAAGCATACACACACAAACACATATAGATACATATACACAGCTTCTCCCGTTCACTTTCACACAGCATCATATGTTTCTTAACCCTAACATAAAATGTATCCTCCAAAAGTAATATTGTGGGCCTATTCAAAGTAAAGTATATATTGGAAATTGATACTATATGTGCGGGAAAAGGACTGTTTAATAAAAAAGCATCTTAGTTAAGGGTATTATAGCAACAACCTGTCCAGAAATATTATATAAAACCTTTATCCAAACTTCTTTCTGGGCACATATTTAATTGTTTAGAAATATTACAGCCATATTTTGCTAAAATGCTTCAAGATCTACAATAATGAATACTATATATGAATATATGATATTAATAAATAAATGGCCAATGTAGGATGAAACATATTTTAAATGAACATTCAAAATATTGTTCTGGATGATGAAATAGCGTTTTACTACTTGATGGTTTTACTACTCGTTAAGCATTATTGAAAGGGAGGGGAAGTTGTAGATGACAGAGACAGAGATTTAAATATAGAAGCAAGTGACTCACACAATCTATGTTATCTGACATGTTCAGGATGATGTAGTTTTTGCTTGCCAGGTTGCTCCAGTCCTTACAGATAATCTACAAAACAAAACAAATGAAGACATCCCTGAGTTAACATGGAAATATTTTGGGAAGCAGCATGGTCATTTTTTAAATTTATAGAACCGAGATGGCACAGTGATTAGAGTGCAGTACTGCAGGCTACTTCAGCTGACTGCTAGCTGCAGTTCAAATCTCACCAGTTCAAGGTTGACTCAGCCGTCCATCCTTCCGAGGTGGGTAAAATGAGGACCCAGATTGTTGGAGGCAATATGCAGACTCTGTAAAAACCACTTAGAGTGGGCTGTAAAGCACTGTGAAATGGTATATAAGTCTAAGTGCTAGTGCTATTGCCATTAAAAAATGAATACGAAGTTTTAGCCCCAATTCAGACAACCAATTGTTTCATCCCTTTGGACCCACTGTGGCTCCAAAGTGCTCAAGAAACTTAAGACACAGATCAATAAGACAGGTGTGTAAAATTCAAACTAAAGTTTGTGCCATTGTAAGGGATTATAAGGGAAATTATCTCCATGGGCCACATTGTATTTGAAGCCCAAGAAAATGACTTATACAAACTGGCATATACAATATAGGTGTTTAAAGTTTTGTTTGAGCACTGACAAACAAGCACAATGTTTGTGCTAGTAATACGGTAGTCAATCTGTATACAAATGAAAAATGAACTGAGTTAAGCATCTGAAACAAAACATTGGGATGAAATCTCAGAGAATGGACTATATAATAGCTAGTTGGCACAATACTTTCTTGAGGGTGAAACATTTCTATTCCAGTATGCTCTGTAGCACTTTTTTGGAACTAAATCCAATATGTTGCCTACTCAGTTGTTCTAGGTGTGTACATATATCTCATTCTTTCTCTATCATCAGATTATTTGAATCTTTAAAAATATAAATCTAACCAAAAGAACATCAGAAGAATGAACACAATTAGAGCCGGTCTTCACAGTATCACAATTACAATTAAAAAAAAGGAAAAAAATTAAAATATTTCAAATATCTTGAGAATCAGTTCAGTTAATTTAAAAAACAATAAATTAAATGGATCATTTAAGACAATAAACCTATTTTAAAAACCTCAAAATCTGACAATTTTTGCTCCTATATAATGAAACAAATCACATTCAACTGTATGAATGTGATCTGCCTATATTCTGTAGACTTCTGCCTACAGAAGTCTTACTCTTAAAGAATTTTAAGAATTCTAGAATTACTGGTTCATAACTTTAAGCAGAAATGCTAAGCTATCATTACTAGGCTATGTGAGCCATATGTGAGCTTTATCATAGTTTTGAAAAATGTATCTCAGCTACCCCAAACTAGAACTTGATAGCTTTTTATTAGCCAATGAATTAATTACTCAGTTAAAATTTCTTTTAAAATTGTTTGTTTTACTGATAGGGAGGGCTATTATAACATATAAAAAGAGCCTAGGTGACGCAGCAGTTAGAGTGCAGGACTGCAGGCTACTTCAGCTGACTACTAGCTGCAGTTTGGCAGTTCAAGTCTCACCAGGCTCAAGGTTGACTCAGCCTTCCATCCTTCCGAGGTGGGTAAAATAAGCACCCAGACTGTTGGGGGCAATATGCTGACTCTGTAAACTGCTTAGAGAGGGCTGTAAAAGCACTATGAAGCGGTATATAAGTCTAAGTGCTATTGTTATTGCTATTTGCATATACTGATTTTCACATTTGTTTTATTCATATTATCATATATACCACCTTGAGAGGGTTTGGACCTTAAAGATAACCCGGAAATTAAATATCAGTTAGTTAGTTTTAAGCCCCTTTATAGGAGAAATGTTACATCTTTTTAAAATAGAATTTTGATCCTGCACATCTGTGGCATTTTAGTACTATGGTTCTGGTTCAAATTTGTGTTGGTTATGAAAATAACCACCTGTAATGAAATTAACAGGCAAGTTAATGAACATAACATAAATAACGTAAATAACATAACGTAAATAACATAAAACCATGTTAAATGGTTTGTTTCTCCCAGCCTTTAACAGAGGTTTCTAAGTATAAATACTCATCACCCAATGGTCCACATACAATTTTCTTACCTGTGTCAAACTCCAGGGAACTCCTGAGGCAAGCAGGAGATCTCTGTTTTGTGCTGCAGCAGTTGTGATGATTGGCAGTTTTGTATCCTGGCTATTTTGGTTAGCAGTTGGAGTTGGGGCTCGTCCACTGGTCCAGTCCCAAAAATGGCCCAAAGAGCTGCGATCTGATAGGCTGTTAGGAGTCCTGGAAACAGTCTCAGTTACTTGGAAATTGTCCTCATGAGAGCCTACTAGATCTTCTCCTGTCAGTTCCATCTCAGCTGCAACTGTTCCCGATGCAGGTTTTGGAATCTCCTCCTGTGTTGTGGCTTTTCCTTCTGGTAGATCGCCTTCTACTGCAGCTATGGTTGCAAACTGTTCCCCTGCTATTTCTATCGCAGCCACTGAGCTCTCTTGGGTAATCTTGGGAGGAAGTTCTGAGACCAACTGGGGGTCTGTAGTGGTCTCAGTTGAAAAGATGGGAGACAAGGGCAGGAGACTGGGTCCCATGCTGCTTCCTAAGTCAAAGCCTGAAGAAGAATACTCGAGCGCAGATTCTTTCCCATGCTTGATCGTAGCTGCTTCAGTCGTTGGGCCCATTCTACTGGCCATGGTGGAAAACAGGATAGAATATAAGGAATCATCTTTAGGTGCTTCAGAAAAAGTGGTTTTTGACATCTGGCTGCTTTGAGTCATTCCCTTTGACTGGTTGATAGGGAGCAATCCTTCTTCCTCCTCCTCCAGGACTCTGGTGGGAGGGGCTTCGGAGTCTGGATCAAAGGAATCAGAGATGGGATGAAAAGTGGGTTCTCCTTGGGGGTCTTTCACTTGTGTTCCATTTTCTTTGGGCAAAGCTTTTTGAGAAGCAAGTGGAAAACTGTAATCTGAAAATAAATAGAGGAGGTTTCCATAGCTAAAATCCCACAAACAGCCCCTCTTAAAAAAAAATTATCTGAAAAAAATTAAGTAGCTTCTGCTTTTTCATGACACTGCAGGAAGACATTTCATCCAGTCTTAACTCAGGAGTAGTCCTGGAAATTGGAACATCCCCTGCTCCATTTATTTCTAAGGAAAAGATCAAGATACCTAACATGTTATTTTGTCCTGTGTTCTACTTAACCTCAGTTTCTCTTTCTGCCTCTCAAAATACTTCAGCAATTTCCCCCCAGCTCTTTCTGGCAAGCCTTTCCTATGCAATTTCATCTTAGTCAATTTTCTAAAATGCCTCTTTTGATCTACAGCGCTAGACACTATTCACAAATTAAACCTTTCCAAGTGATGTGCGCATGCACATTTTATTTAATCCACACTAGGCACACACCCTTGCTGTAATATTTTATCCTCTCTCATATACTTGCTAGGATAGGGCAAAGCATTCTCTGCTTATAATACAAAGCATACTGATCATATTATTTAAAGGCTGGATTTGCTCATTCTGCTAACCTATGTTTTGTTTAATAACAGTTTATGGATTAAATAAAAACTGCCTGCATTTACACAATTTACTGAAGCATAGGCTCTATTTTACATCTATTTTAATCACAGTGGCTGGATTCACACACACAGGGTGGAAAATAAGCAAACCACATCTCGGTTCAATGTGAGATGTGAACCCAGTCTATGAATCACAATAGTTGTATACAGCCTGCAAAAAAAGAGTCATGCCATTAGGGAACAATTTTCCCTAATAGGCCTAATGTCACTTACCCATTCATTTGAGTACTAAAGTATATTTTCTAAGAAAGCATGTAACAATAGTACCAGTACTGTGTTTTAAAGATTGCAGGTACAGTGAATACCTGAGTATTTGGTGTAGAAGGGAATTTCTTTATTTTACACCAACTCTGCATGCCTGATTCTTGATGTGCAACTGATAATGATGTAGTGTTCACATAGCAGATAGGTGTAATCTCAGGTTACCCCATGGGCAGAGGGAACAGCCTGCAGAGCCCATTTTCCACCTCTCAGATTAATGTATTCATGTTCTCAAGAGTGAAGGTATCTCATATGGAGAGATGACTAAAACTTAAAAGTACATCCTCTTGATTTTCATATTTGTATATTGTTCTCATACGTAGTAAGTGTCTCTCTTCCAAGAGACACAAAGGAAGAAGAGCAAATCTTTGAATCCATTGGGGGAGGATTCAAAACTGATAGGAATGTATAATGTGGAGGGTGGTAGAATCTCTCTCTAGCCCAGTTAACAAAATAAAACATTAGAATCAATGGACAATGCTACAGAACAGTGGGACACTGGATTTCATTTTTGTTCTCAACAACATTCTCATTATTTATCTCCCTGTTATTATATCACTGAACTGATGCCACAATGTTGAAGTCACATCTTGGAAATCAAAGCTAATAATTCCAGGACATTATTATGCAACTTCACTGAATATAAGGGGCGGTGGGGGGGGGGGAAGTATTATACGTAATACCAAATGTTGTTTATTTGGTATATGGCAGCCCATCTCAAACAATAATTCCTGATGGCATCACAGCTCCTGATAATCCTTAACTATTTGATCTCCCATAGAAGGTCATGGACGCACATTAAGCAGGAATGAAGATCTTATAAAGAGGATGCAGATATGATTAAACTAAATTAAAGAGTGTCTATCTGACTTGGCTGCCATGTCTATCAGTCTCTTGGGAGTTGTTATTCTAGTTCAAAGAGAGAAAAACCAGGTGTCCAGTCTTTCTTGCAGCCAAAGCCCAAATGACTATGGAGGCACAGTGCCCAGCAACTAGATAGGTAGAGCATTTCCCCACCAGACTTGCCAAGCTGATAACTGAACAAGTTATTATGCCCAGATCCTTCATCCTCAGACTCATTTCTAGATTGTCTGGAAGGCAAGACTTCTCTTAAGAGAAGAAGGAAAACTGATCTCCCAAACCAAAACCATTAAGGACAACTCTAGATTAGGAATGAGATGCTACTAATACCATGAGGATACTTCTCTCAAAAATAGTTAATAAAGCATATTTATGCTGCAACAAGCAATGTGTCAGCATAACCTCTAAGTAAATTAGAGCTAGCTTCTTTGCATACAGATATACCTATATCAAGGATAATACAGTATCTGTCAAGGTTCCAACTGATGAACCCAACCAAAGCAAGTACCACCAAGACGGTCCATGCAAAACTTTATTGAGTACATCACTTCAGCACGTTTGAAGGCAAAACCAGATCTAGATCTTCCCCACGCTAAGCCCAGTGGTGGGTTCTAACCGGCTTTACTACCGGTTCTCTTTGTGCATGCGCTTCGCGCGCAATCGCCTCTTGTGCTTTGCGCAAGCGCATTGTGAATCTGCCCAGCTGAGGTGCGGCAATCTGCTCTGCTGCACCTCTCAGCTGGGCAAAAAAGAAAAGAAAAGAAATATAAGGTAGGAATAACGCAGGGGCGGGCGGGAGAGCCCAGCTCCCAAAGAAAGAGAACCAGTTTGGTGACATAATAGCGTCACTGCTACCGGCTCGGCTGAACCGGGCCAAACCGGGAGGAGCCCACCACTGACTAAGCCCCATAGGTAAAGTTCAGATTCTTCCACACACACACACCAATTAGCTCAGGTCACATTGTCTAATACCGTCTCTGGATATTGTTGTGGGAAAGTGTTTCTGGATTTTGTAAATACCTGCCGAAATGTCCTTGGTTCTCACACCGACATCTCAATGTCTGGCCCATGTTCTATCTCCCGCTCCCTCCCCACCATAGTTAATTGGCAAGCTGAGAGGCGATAATAGTGGCAACGGCAAGATGTTTTTTGAAGCTTGACAGGATCTGTAAAATATTCTATTTTGGGATAAGCAACAATACGCAGAGCACAAAAATGAGAAATAGTAAGCCACAGAATATAAAGAGAAATACAACTAGTTTATACAAGCACCATTCATTATAGTTATTCATATTTTTCTATCCATATAAATCATCTTGCTTCTCCCCTCTTGTATATACAATACATTGCCTTTTGTTCTGTCTTATGCAAATATTATTCTGTGCTAAATTACCCTCAGAATTCAGGTTTCACTTAAGTTTGTTGCACAGCCTTTTTAGCATAATGTGTGAAACAGTCCCATGATCAATACCCTGATAGAAAAAAAATACTTGTGCTGTATTTTGTGATGTGGCAATGCAGAAAATAGTTATTTCATACTCCTGTAGAGAATTCTCATATAACACGGCCTTGAAAGGAGATGAGAGAATGGAATTAAGGAAAAGGGAATGTAAGTATTAGATAGAAAATCCAGCCAGGATGTTAGTGCTCATATTCTAGTTTTAAGTGACAATATCTCTTATAGCAATGAGTAATTAGGAGGTCCTAGTGCAGGTTTTGCTACATGAACAGTGTAATGAAATACAGTAAGTATCCTTTTAGGAATGGTAACATTTACTTAAATCTTTCACCTTGGAGTAGCACTTGGTTCATGATTGTATGAAAAAAAAAATGAGAAAGAGTTCTTTTAAAAGTTACTGTGTGTTTAAGTCTAGATAAACAAACAAACTCTGAGCCCACTAGTAGCAGCTGGGCAGTGGACCACTTGATGTTAAGCTTCTTAGTTGTTGTCTTTCCATAGTGCTTAATTTCACTGAGCTGTAGCTGAAGATGAGATTAAAAGATGTGCACTTAATGTCAATCTATGCTTAAAACATAGTTGCAAAGCTAGAGGTAATATCATAACATTAATTAAATACTTCTTATAAAAAGTAGCCTATTGCTTCTTCACCAAATGATTTTAAGGAGTATAGGTAAGAAAAAAAAAACCCTGCTGTGAACTCCACGTGGCATCAGGAAGGGCATCCGGCTAGTAAATACTCAGCTCCATCCAGTTGCCCTGATCCTACCCTAAATTAAGGAATTACAGAGTAATAAAAAGTGAGGTATGTATTGAATATGCAGAAGGATGGGAACCGAGTATAAATTCTGAGTATAAATTCCTGCAGCTCTTTAATTCTCTCTCGGTATTTTCCTGAATAGGTTAAGACTCAAAAGGCTCAGAGGAGGAGAAATACACACTGGTGCACACTCTGATGTGCATGAACCCATGCAACTCTTTCCTCTTGGCTCTTTCTGATTTTTTTAAAGTCCAGGATCAGGCACAGATCAAACATTAGCATAACTCCTAACAGCTGAATCTGTCATAGTTGGTCTATGAGGGAGAGCAGTTATCTGTTATTTTGTCATTCAGATATAAGAATACAGGTAGTACTCAACTTACAACCATTTGTTTAGTGATCATTCAAAGTTACAATGGCACTTTAAAAAGCGATTTACAACCATTGCACTTGCAACCTTTGCAGGATCCTCATGGTCATATGATCAAATTTTGCAACTGGCATGTATTTATGATGGTTGCAACATCCAGGAGTCATGTACTTATCATTTCTGACCTCCTCAGCCAGTTTCTGACAAGCAAACTGATTTATTTAATGACTGCAATGATTCACTTAGCAACTGTGGCAAAAGGTCATAAAATCAGGCGTGACTCACTTAACAACTGTTTTGCTTAGCAATGGAAATTGTGACCCCCAATTGTGGTGATAAGTCAAGGACTACCTGTACAATTAAATGCTTTCTTTGAAGTGAAATTAATTAGACCAGAAACTACTTAATTTAATTTCATATTCAATTTAATGTAAATTAAATGCTGAATTTAATAGAAGTAGTCCTCGACTTACACCATTTATTTAGTGACCATTGGAAATTAACAATGGTATTGAAAAAAGTGACTTATGAGTTTTTCACACAACCGTTACAGCATCAAAATTCAGAAATTTGGCAACTGACTTGTATTTATGACTGGGTTTGCAGTCTCCTGGGCTCATGGGATCACTTTTTGTGACCTTCTGACTAGCAAAGTCGATGGGGAAGCCAATTCACTTAA